ATATATATATATATATAATATATATATATATATATATATATACATTATGCCCGTTTTTGCCCCCTTCGTGCGGCCTCCTCGATGTATGAAAATATCTGTCCCCTGGTGTCGTGCATCAGCATTCTAAAACTTACGATGACACTTCGAGACCCCCAGGCTATGCCGTTGAGGGTGATTGACTCTGCGACGCAGGATGATGCGGAAGTACTAGCCTCCGATGGTGCCGGGTTAGCAGTAAATACAGCTACGCCGAAGAGCACGGGGAGAAGAGGAGGAATCATGAAGAAGATTAGTGCTAGCAGCTTCACAAGCAGCACAAAGATTGAGGCTCTCGTGCAAGTGAGGCCTATCCATATTTTCTAACAGCACTGCAGTGCGTGTTCTGCGAACGGAAAGCAATTTGGTGCTCATTCATAAATGCTCTTTCCAGTGGTAACTCTTGTCGTACAACAGTGCTGTTTCGCCCCCGCAGGAACTCAACATGGAATCTGAGCAAGACAACCAAGTCAAGAGCATCGTATTTTCGCAGTTTTGTGCTATGTTGGATCTCATTGAGTTCCGACTGAAGAGAGAAGGGATACAGTGTGCCCAACTTACAGGGTCTATGACTGCCGTTGCGAGGTAACTGTTGCTACTTTATTTCATTAGTCCTTGTCTCATCCTGCCTTGCGTATCTTCCATGTATTTCTTCCCCCTTTCCTCTAACAAACTCATAGGTTGTATTGCATGCATTGCAGGCTCTGCTTTCTTCAGGTGAACTCATGAGGGTTTTGCCGATATTTGCGTGCTGATGCCTTTTCAGAAGCAACGTGTTGTATGCATTCAACAACGATCCAAACTTGCGGGTAATCCTCATTAGTTTAAAAGCTGGCGGCGAGGGGCTGAATCTGCAAGTTGCTAGTAGAATATATCTGATGGATCCTTGGTGGAACCCTGCAGCAGAGATGCAAGCCATCCAGAGGGCGCACAGAATAGGTCAGACCAAACCTGTAAAAGGCGTAAGATTTATATGCAGCGACACAATTGAAGAGAGGATCCTCCAGCTACAAGAAAAGAAACAGCTCGTGTTTGACGGCACTGTAGGAGCGTCGAACCAGGCGATGCACAAACTAACTCAAGAAGATCTTCGTTTCCTCTTTCAGTCTTAGAGAGGAGGCAGCGCAAAAAGCTGTGCAGTTTCTTAATGCGCAGCAGGCGCTGTACACTATGTTATGCAAGTAGGCGGGACTTTTTTCATCAGCTCCGCTGGTCCGCCCTTCCGTTTTCGCAGTTATGTCTCCGTGGGAGCTCGCTTTTAGCATTTATTCACATTGAAGTTAGATGCATGCAGTGAAAAGAAGCCAGATAATGTGGTTATCTTCCTTCACTTGACAGCACTGTACTCCCGCCGTGGTCCAGTCACTCCAAGTGTTGCGATGTAGAAAGATGTTTACGAAGGTGGGCACGATTCTTCGTGACAGCAGTCGTGCCAAGTCTTCGTCCACTGAAAAGCTTCGTTGAGAGGCATTCAGGAGGAATGGCAGGGAGGCATCCTACACCGAGGGGCCGAGTCAGCGGCTTCGCAAGGCTGCGGGGGTCTGTGTAGCTGCATGTCTCCAAACGCAAGCTCAGAACGAGATTCTCATTCTTTGCCTTCGATTGGCGATCATTTTGACTCATTTGTCGAGTGCCTTTTCACCTCTGATGCTCCACCGTCTCGTAACTATTCAAATAATTGCTTGTTCGACTAAAGTCTCGATGATATGCGGCGATGCTGGACAAGTGGAGAATGTCCCCTTTTATTTTCACGACCAATACAAGTGACGAACAACTAATGAGAGCTGCAGTTTGCCAACTACACAGAATTGCGGACGGAAGGTTGCGCAGCTCCCGATTAATCCTTATATTCCAGCTATACTAATCGGTGCCACTGCTGCCGTTATGGGATATCTTTAGCTGGGCAGCGCGCTCAGGGAAGCTCAAGCCTGCCGCTTTACATGCCGCTGAGCTTATATGCCTTCCTGCGTTTATGCCAACGTCGTGTTGGTCTATCACACTGCTACATACATGTCCGAAACGACATTGCATCAGCACCTACACAGTTTGGGTCGTTGGTCGGCCTAATCATGAAGTGTCAAACTATCCAATGACTTGATTCGTAGTGCCGTAACACTGCTAGTCCTACACACTGTGCCTCCAGGCTGTCTCTGTTGGTTCTGGCCTGCGTCTTCAATACTCTTTTACTACAACAGTTGTTAATCCAAGCCGGTGGTACTTGGCGCGCAACCAGTAACCAGTTGTTACCTAGGATGCCGTTCTGCTGCAAACACCCTCGCCCTCCTCCCAGAAGACAGGAAAATCACCACCAAAACACTTTGGAGCGAATTTAACTTGCCATAGTAATGACGGTGCGCCATGAGTGTGTCAACCTAATGCAGTGGCGGCGTTCTACTGAACTTCACACAGTGGTAGGTGCATGTACTCGTTTGCGTGTATGCTGGGTATTGGGAGCCCAAAAGGCGGCACACCGAATGGCCACCGCACAAATGGTCATACTGAATCGGGTCTGGGGAGCGCCTGTTAGCGATACTGCTTCTGAGGAGGTGCAACAGGAAGCGGTCCAATCCAAAACATGCCGGCTTTTATTCCCTGACCCTGTGGCCGTTGCTTTCAGAAAGCTAGGAGATAGCAGACTATGGTACATTCTTTTTTGGGTGGCTACTCTCGTACCATATTCTGATTTTGCCGAAGCTCACCAGGACCCCAACTCCTCATGCGAAACCCAGAACGCTCCGCTGTTAACGGGAAAAGAAATGCAGCGACAACCCCACGAAGACAAAAATACGTGGATTCCACTGCACACGTACTGGCAATTTTAAAACGTAGCAATTCGACGAAAATTCTTGGTGAAAAACACAACTGCGCACGCTTCCTGTACAGGTACTACACTTCGTGAAAACAGCCCGGCTGAACAGATGCTCTATTGTCCATAACCCAGATCACCAGGCAGTCATTGACTGGAATCATGTACATATTGCCATTGTGTCACTACTTCCAATAAGCGGTGATATTTGAAGAATAGCCCGCGCCTGTTGTTGAGTTACTGCAACACAATCCTACGAACAGTCGCCCGGCAGCAAGAGACCCGGGACACTAGCTCTGAAGCACAAGCACCTGCTGATTCAAGCACAAATCCCTAGAATTGAGGTACATTGTGCCACAAAAGCATACGTCAGATGTTAAAAATGCCAACACAGTCAACAATTGGCTGCAGCTCTACTAGACAGAGGGAAGGCTTTTGGGCACCAGCTCCCGTCGCATGCGCCTTGCGTTCGTGTCGAGCTTCTGTTATGATGGACCTTTTGCTGCGCCGGCCGGTTTTTAACGAATATTCTAGGGTTTTTGTGCAGCTGCATTATTACAAGCTGTTATCGAGGCCTGCATAAGCCCTCCTGAGTGCCTCATTTGCGCGTATTTGGCCATCCCGTCCGACCTCATTGATCTTCCGCATCCCTTCCGTCTTTTGCTACAAAGACAACTCACGAGAATGAGCAATTCTTCACCCCAGGTAGCTGAGGCAACGGCTGCGCCAGCAGGAGCGTCTTCTGGCGGTGGAGGCGCGAACACATCAGAACACGACGCGACAAGTTCTGCGCAACGGAAACCTACACAGGGATCACAGAATGGTGCTTCGGCCAGCGCACTCCCCCCAGCATCGGCTGCATCTGTATCTTCATCTGCAGGCAGTGGTTCGATTGCACGTAAGAGATTGGCCCAAGAGAGGGCAGCTTGGAGAAGAGATCATCCAGCAGGCTTCTCCGCTAAATACGCACCCATGGCGGATGGGTCTGTCGGACAGGATATTATGAAGTGGATTTGTAAAGTCCCAGGAAAGAAGGTCAGCTTCTGATTAGGCGTAATCCTTAAGTGTTGTTGGGTATGGTGATTTTGAGGGAGGCGCTTCAAGAATAACAGTTGCGCAGCCGTAAATGGTCAGAGGTTGCAAGGCGCGTTGGATGATCTCTCTTCTCGAGCTCCCGTAAATATGCGTAACACACGGGAATCTTATATCTTTTATTCATTACGTAGCGTCATGGACTATACTGTCGACTGTTGTGTTCTGCGACTGCAGGGCAGTTTGTGGGAAGGTGGCGAATACTGTCTCACAATGGAATTTCCCGAGGAATATCCCAGCAAACCTCCAAAGTGCAAGTTTACGCCGGTCCTATTTCATCCAAACGTATATCCATCTGGAACTGTTTGCCTATCGATTTTGAATGAGGATGAAGACTGGAAGCCGTCAATCACGATCAAGCAGATCCTTCTTGGGATCCAGGTAAATCGCTTCACTACCATACACGAGTGCCAAGTTTTTATTTCACTTCCAATTTTCCACAAGGCGCCAGCGATTAGAGGAGTGACGAGGCTCTAGTAATTAACTCACCCGCACGGGGTGAAGCGGTGTGTGCCACGCTCAGGATCTACTGGACAATCCCAATCCCCAGTCACCTGCCCAAGCCGAGCCTTATATGCTCTACTGCCAAAATCGTGATGAATACAACAGAAGGGTGAAAAACCAAGCAATACAGATGCGGCCCAAGGACTGATTAATAAGTAAATGGCTGTTTCGTAATTTCTTTCTAGGTGAAGCATGGACGGATCTTTAGTAAACCGGTTGATGAAGGGATGATGCCGCACGACGATGCAGCAGTAACCCTGAGCTTTGTCCTCCCCGATTGAGCTTGCGGTATACGTGAATCATCAATGGCAGAAGACCAACGCGCCAACTGTAGTGCGAAATTCGCATCTCACTAGCCGCCCTTGTCTTCAATCACGAAACGTGAGGGATATGCGAATCTGAAAAGGAAAGTAGATTTGTTCTCAGTGGCGACCCGATTTTAATCCACGTCTACGATGACGTTAAGGGATATGCAGAAATGAGGAGACCGGCGGGGAACATTCTTTCTTGTCCTCCAACTCACTCTCTCTGGTCCCGTTTAAAGTTGACTTAGCGGAGATGCTCGTATTGGGTTTCGACCGAGTATGCGGAAGCGGGAAATTTTGCGAATCCACGAAATGGTTTTTTGGCAGCGAGTGGTGGCATTTTTCGGAGCATTCGCTGCGACTGCACCGGCTGTACAGTAGAGTACGTGAACATCAAAAGCAGCGTATCCGAGGCTGAGTCGATTCGATGCAGCGGCGAGCACTAGGTTGGATTAGGGAGACTGAACTGGAGGACTATTGCGTTTCGTGGGAAGACCACTCGCCTGGCGTGCCACATATTATTCTTGGGAAACGTGTGTAGGTAATTGCTCTTTGGACCGGCATATTGGACGTAGACGCTGGGAATTTCCGAAGAACTGCAACCGTGAAAACCTACGGTGTGCATGCAGGACCCCTGTGTATCATTGTTCTTTCTGTTTACGTGGCTGGCATGCAAAACGTGACCTGCTGCAAGTCACTTTAAGCAAGGCCCCTTTAAATCAGACACCTCGTACAGCAATGGGCAACAGAAATAGGTGTTCCGTGCACTTCTCCTTGGCATACTTTTGATAGTGGTGCATATTGCCTCCAGTATGCAACAATGAGGAACGATGAGCCACGGTTAGAAGTACAGCAAGCGCCACGGGAGCGTTTGGTCCATATGCATTCGACGATAAACCTCCCAAATATTGTCCATCTCAGGTGTAGCGTAAATCCACAGCGGCTTGACCCGCTAAAACTTCACTTTCCACTCCCGCGTAGCACCCGACGCCCGATCGAGGAGAGTTAGGATTCTGTGTAGAAGTGGAATTTCGTAGGTGAATAGCTTAGTTCGAGCGCCCGTTGCTTTCGCTACCAGCTTCACTCCGTGAAGCGCATCGTCAATCCAACTTTGGTGCTCACGGAGGATGCAGTTAGCTGACTTTAGCCCCAAGACATGCACAGCAACCTGCGTCTGATGCGCTCGAATTATGAAAACTCCTAGATATTTGAGGAGCAAACACTTTCACGATGGTGTATATTTCACAGTGTGCACCCACTGAATGGTGGGACGGAGAAAAGGCACAGGCCGCCTGTACAAGAACATACCATACAGGACAGAACTGGCGAATCATCGAGCTTGCACTCTCCTCTTAGTCTTAGCAGTTTGAGGGGTAGGTGGAGGATGGAATATCGGGTACGGTACAGAATTCATTCTTTCTTCAATATGGCTTGTAGGTGAGCATTTGAATTCGCCACTTACGCATACCATTTCTGTATATTCACAGTGTATATCGTCTTGTACCTACAGAGCTTCATGGCTAGTGCTGGCTTCCTCTAAGTCAATCTATAGAGTTGTGCTGTGGACAGTTGGTTATTCCTCGTCCATTCTCAATGTATTTGTATAACAAGGTATTTGTCACTGTGGCGGTGTTGTTTCTCCCTGGGGAATTGCTATTGTTGCCGCTATATCTGTATGTACTACATTTATGCTTATATAAGGAAAGTAAATACGGCTTGTACGTATTAGAGGCTTACATGCTGCATGTTCTAGTTGCCTAGCTTGTACGTGCATTTCCGCGGTGTCAATACCTAAGAGTCCGCAAATCGTAAGTGGCCAAGCCTGCCCGTCAACATCCTCTTCAACCCCTGTAATTAGCTTCCCGTGCTTTATCTGCAGGGGATTGCTCCATTGGAGACCCGACAAGTTAGCGCCCGTACATTTTCAGCCCAACTCTGTCGCCAACATTGGCCCATAGAGGGGCAAATGTGTCTGTTTTCAGTTCTTCTGTACTCATTCATGTTCAGTTCAACCTCGTAGCTTGACATGTCCTCACAAAACCTCACCAAGAATAACACAATTGTTTCTCCACAAAACACTGCACTGAAATCCTACCTAGAAATGCAAAATTTCTAGTTCTTTAGAGTTGTCCAAGGGCAGCGTGTCCTGCAAGGCGATGCTTCAGCGGCGAGGCCTTCCAGTAAGCCACATTGATCAGTATTTCGGTCAACTATACTGCGGGGTAGAGCATTCGATGCACCCAAATTCAAATTCTGTAATGTTCTTATGCTGTATGTGTATTATTTTGACACAGGAATAATTGATACACAGCGGTTTACGGGAGTTCGCTACCGTTTGTCGGAAACCGAGAACTAGAAAAGCATCTGTAGCTTTTCCCTTTGATTTACTCGCCAAGCAATGCTTTGACTTACCACACAATACTGCAGTGTTCGTTTTGTCCTACAAAGCAACGGTTACTCCCTTCAATCATGGATGCCCCCCATAAATTCGCATGCCTTATACCCACCTGTTGAGGCAGAGGGCTACCGCGTATATTTTAAATGCTACTCTCCATACTCTATTTTTTAATTTCAGTGCCTTGATCCTCAACGCAGTAACAGCACAGTCAGTGCCTACAGGAGTCACCCGCGAACGGTTCGGTCCACTAGACCGATTCGTGGCAACACAACCTCTGCTTCAGAATGTCTTCATTGCGACCACTTTATATTTGCTGTATTCATGTATATAAGTAGGGAATTCGGAGAATCTTTTACGAGAGTGTCTTTCACGATAGCATATCCCAACCAGAGTGCTCCCACGGATAGGCACAGTTGGCTCGTGAAAAACGGGACGGACGGACTTGTCGGCTGTTAATAACCGTACTGCTATGAACAGTTTATGAAATCTTCGCTGTTGTGTGGTTCTAATCTTTTTGGTAACAATCTAACAATTCATTCTCATGGGTTCCTAGTCCCTTACGTCTACTCTGCAATGCATTGCAGATCGTACACACCATCTTATTGCACACAGGTTTTGGGGGAATTTCAAGCCTAGCTCCCTGTGCATTGTTTAGATATAACAACTTTATGTTAGTTACTAAAAGAACTGTGTTTTGTGGGGCTCGACTGGCACCACAGTAGACCCTTTCGACGCAACCCAACGGTCCTCTCTTCGGCAGTTTCTACAGGAGTTTTGACATGTTTACAGCGTTACATGCAACACCCACAACATTATTTGTCTAGGACGGAGTATTATGGGTCTCTAGGGCTGAAACTGGAGTTGTAGTGAAGTACGTGTGTGTACATAGCCCAATGCAGCGCCCGAAGTGCGACCCCGAGATGATACAGGTTTCTAAGGGGAACATCTTGACACAACCCCAAGCTGCTGCGGTGGACTGGTTCCTCCAGCTGTTGCCATCTGGCTTACTGCATCCTCTGCGTTCCCATGAGTCTCCTCCTGATGCGTCTGGATTTACTGGTGGCTCTGCTAAAGGCACAGGTGAGAGGTGCACTCTGGTGGTGGCCAACACGGAATTACGCAGACAGTGGCGAAAGGCCAGCATCAACTTGAGTACTCAGCAATGGGCATAGAGTCAGGAACGTACAGCAGCACCAGCTGTGTGGATGCAGAGAGCAGCGGCAAGCGTGCGGGTACAGGACTACTGAAAAGCCATCCAGATTTTGAATTTTCAAGTGCTTCGGCAATTTTTTCTGGCCCAAAAGCAAACGATGTTCCTTTGCTCAACTGCCCACTGCCTGGTGAGTGATGGCATGCAAGGCACGTCATTTTTCCTCCAACTAAATGTGTAAGCGTCTTGTATATACTCCTCATTGTTGTTCCCGAAGTGCAGCATGTGGAAATCTGTTGATAAGTGGCATATGGTCATCGTCTATACCTCTACGATCTTTTGCCTGGCTTTTAGACGAACGGGATAGTATGTTTACGAGTAAATTCCTTGCGGTGCGCGTCGTCAAGCTATCAATGCACATCTATGCATAAGGGTATGCAAGAGCCACTAAATGTTTAATTACAAAGATATGTTGGGCTGTGTTTTTTTCCAATCCTATGAGCAGATCCGAACCCAGAAGTGGTCAATGACCACTCCGCGAGAGAGTGCAAACGGGGAGATTCACTTTATGTAGAGTGTGTGTCAGCATTCTGGAAGGTTCTTTTTGAGCCGCCTCTGAATTCGAACTCCCCTGAGCAGCGTGTTGCTTCATTTTGGTTCCCTGGGAGCTGGTGCTCCTGGGTAGGAGCACTGCAGCATGGGCCCGATGACTCAAACTACACAAGAGACAAAAAAGAGGCTATTATGGCGAGAGGGGACACTCTGGCCATGCAGGTGACCTCCGAGAATCTCTGTCCTGCCAACGAGTTCTTGGAGAAAGGAAAACCAGCTGCCAGGAGAGGGCAACCCAAAGGCAAGACCCGAGACATACAGAGCAATAAGGAACAAGGACAGACGCTGCAAGGCCCCTCCGCTCCCCTCTGGCAACAACTGGGGAAGCAGCAGCGTCGTCATCAGGAACTTTTGATTAAGGAACGGCAGAAACAGCAACGTCCGGAGGAGCTTTCCTTTGGGCCAGCTGCATCGTGGGCCTTCCTTACGAATTTCTGTCAGTTTATATTTGGCTCCTGTTTTGGACATCAAACGCTTCTGCATCACGAGGGCCTCCAAGGACCAGAACAGTCACAAGAAAATGAAGACACTGCAGCGCTTGAGTCATGCAAAGGGACTATGTGGAGCGATACTAATTTGCAGCTCGTCTGCGGCACCCGTTGCCGCAGCTTGAGGAGGGTGAAGGACGAAGGCCGTCAAGTCTGGATGGAGTATCAGGAAGTAACGCTACTCGACAACTCTCGACGGTTCCAGTGGGTAAGCAGTTCACGCTCCACTTTCGCCTCATGCTGCCTCCGGAATGGCCACTTGCTGCGTTACGAATGAATGAGTTTCCGCGCCCCCCTTCCAAAATTCTTACTGTACAGCAGCTATCAGCCGAAGGCTAATAGCTCCTACTCAATAAAAATAGCTAAACTTCCAAGTACTTCGCCGTTATTCGCAAAGCATCGGAAAATGTGGTGAATTCCTTGTGTGCGCACCAGGTAGAGTTGACGGAAAACGGCACGGGTGCAACTGAGTGATCGCTATGCACCCCAAAACAGGCCTTCTATGCAGTGTCAACAGGCACTAAGGGAGAACAGACGATCCAAGGGTGCACGCAAGACCGAACTACGTCTTGTGCGACTTCATGAACTGTTTACCCCGTGCTCGTACATGTGCAAATATGTCACCCACATGAGGGCGACGGGACAGTCTAATTTGTTGAAACTCACATCTGGTCAGCACACTCACTGGTTTAATCGAAGCACCAATCAACGGGCTCATTTGCGCATTGGTCTCTCATGCCTCCCTACCCTCCCTTCCCCTCTCCCTTGCTACAAATACACCTCTAATATCGCTCCCACGGATTCAGTGAACTATAAGATGTCGTCTGAGCACAGACGGTGAATGGTTCAACTCAGCTACTGCCATGCTGGTGTTGTTTGTGCTGTTGTAACAGAGCACCAGCAACCGACCCCTGCTTAAAATTGGAAGTGTGACGGTTAGAAACACAAACTATCATAAGATCTGCCAAGGAAATTTCAAGTTAGCTTGCATGCCCTATCAACGTCAGTTAGATGCTACAAAGTTCATGGGGTAGCGGCTATGCAACCAAAAGCAAATAGTATATGCTAACGATGACAGATTCGGCCTTCGTTCGCCGAGGTAGCAAAACCGAAAAAGCATAAACGGACACTTCGTCCCCCGGTGATGCGTATGTATTAAGCCTTGTCGGGGAAATTACAATTCGACTCTTCAAGGATGGTTTTCAGTCGGGATGTCACTGGCCTGATATGCACATGCACCGCAGTGTCGCAAGCTGTTTGTGAGGGTCCCCTTCTTAGGGGCTGCAATCTGTTACTGCAGCATTTGCATAAGGCGAAAAAATATGCAGATGGATCACGTGGGTGCTTCTGCACCGGAGACCTGATGGCTATTTCAGTACTTACAGGATCACCTCCTGGATGCTGGGGAGGCACACCTCTGCTTCGGACATCTCAAAGCCCAGACGACTGTTCACAATCAAAACAGTAAGTACGAGTTCACAACAATAATCAGTTAGGCGGCCTTAGCTCTCTACCGCACCATATGGGTAGGTTCCACATGCGCCATCTCCCTGCAGTGCAGACGCCCACCTATAACCCAGCTCTCCATCTAACATATATCCGCAAAAGACGACTTAACGACTTGTAAATAATTACCTGACAAATTCCTCCTTCGACGGGGCGAGACTGAACGCTAAAGAGGCTATGTTCGACACCAAAAAGCCTGAGTTCAGAAAATACGAATGGAGTGTTGAGACCAGTCGCCGTCCGTGAACACCAGTTCAGCCCTTACAAGCTTGAAAACACCTGGATATTCCACTGAAGGCAAACTGAAGGCAATACTTAGATACGCACGGGTTCCGTGGCTTGTCTGTTTCTGCTTACTGTGGTAGGGCTTCAGAATGCGATCGTAGGCATCCAATGCGCATTCCTTGGCTGTCGCAGTCTTCATTGTCCCGAACATGTTGCAAATCAGCGTGAAGACAAACTCCAGCGCTCGTTGCATCCACAACATTCCCCTCACACCGCTTTTTTGGTCTTTGCGCATTCGAGGGATTCCTAACTGCTTCAGCTCCCATGAAATCAGATCCTCTGCGGTTACTGGGCCTCCGCCTCGAATCTCACTCAAGGCCCTTGCTGCCTCCCTCATTCGGCCAGATGAGTTCGCGATATCTTGCTGCACCACGCAAACAAAATGAAAAACAGGCACAATCGCAAGAACGGCGTGCTGCCATGCGCGGTGCAAAACCACTTTTCCTGTCCTGCAACGTATTCGCGTTGTCTGAATTGCATTTCTCTGTAATGTGTCACGGATTCACATCCAATCTATGACCGTGTGGTATTCAAATTAATTACACCCCTGGGAGTTCAAACAGCGAGGGTAGCACAGGGTTCACTACAACAGTGACTGTTGCCTAGGTATCGTGCACGGATGAGTGTTTGCATTGATACCAGTACCTTCAAGTGTCGAGATATGAACCCCTTCCCAAAAACGAGCTCGTACATAACAGATATCTGCATCGCCGCATCGGCAAGTTTCTCTGCAAGAAACACTCAAACTCCTTTGGTTCGATGTCCTGGTAAACGTCACTACAGGGTGTCTTCAGCATGTGGGTAATTGCAGCGAAGCTGCTTTACTGGTGGGGGATCAAAATGCTGTTGTAGTGGCACTATGAAAAAAAAACCTGCAAACCGTGAGACCCGGCGGCTGAGCTTGCTGGGCTTAGCGGACGCAGTGGACACGTCGCCAACATGTAAGCATGAGGGTCAGAGATGTTGTGAAATAAACTCCGACGCCACTCCAAAATCTGCAGTTCCCGCCTAAGCCTTCGCGAACTCACCGCAGTCCAGCCTTCCCTCAGCATCTGGCACTGCGCGAAACTTCTCCAAGAGCAGGTTGTACAGGGGGAGGCCCTTCAAGGGCTCCTCCCGGGCGTCAGCCATTCCGACTGGAACAAAAAATGTGTTTTAAAAATCACGCTCTGATGTTGTGCGCTAGCTGGTTCCACTGTCCTGTTGGGCCAGGGGGAGACCAACTGCGCCGTCTTGACAACGAATCTACAATACTACTGAACTTTAACCGGCTCTCCCCAGTACCCAACAGGCTTCGACCGAAGGTGGCCAGGGAGAGCTGATGTTCTGAGGCTGTTGCTTTCCAACGCGCAGATTGGCATATCCTGCTGAAAGGAGTCATTTACTTCAACCTACGGTGACCTGTGAGTGCGTTTCACTGGTCCACCCGCCTCATCACCACTTCTGTGGTGCCAAGTGCTCTAAAGCACCTGGAATACGTCTCGATCGTATTGTGGAGTATACAATATGCATCAGTCGAGACACATTAAATACCTTCATTCCTCAATTAATCTCACCTCGCCGGCGGGTATCCACTGAGGTTGTTGGGGCTGTAGGTGGCGCTGCCTGATGAGGGGTATGAGGTGTGGTGGACAGCTCGCGCACAAGGTTGATAATACTTGAAGCCCAATAGTGCACTACTTAGGTGCACACTAATTATCTATCGCCGCATTCAGCGTAACTCCTATAAAATATTCTAAATTACAAAACAACAGGCTCAATACCCAAAATCCAGTTGTCGAATTCAAGTCCCCTCTTTTCCCAAAGACAGGAATTCCCGCGCGCCTGACCGCCTAAGGGCCGAGCCTTCGCTGGCCAGACAGCCCCAAACCCGAATGGCTGTGAGCACTCGTAGCCCGGCTGACCGTAATTATGGTCTAAATACTCTTCATTAAATACTCAACTTTCTTCATATTGTGCTTCTCGGAGAAAGAGGACTTCAGAGGCTCAACGGAGTGTCCATTGTAGCGCCTGTGAAGTACAAGGCGTATGGGGAATGCCTTCGTCCACTAGTAAGTTCGCTCCTATCTTACTTCCAAGTATTTGTGAAGCATGATTTTTTGCCTTATTGGAATCTGCTTTACTCGACTAGTACTGTGGAGTTGTTCTGCTGAACTACGGGAACCGGACCATGTGCATCTGGTGGTTGGGGCTGTACGTGCTCTTCTGCAGCGCGTCACTGTAAATTTCGCCACTATTAACCCCTCTCACAGTTTTATTTTTGAGGCTGAGTGATGGTTGCATGTAAATTATATTTGTCTTATCAGTATTGGCGCTTTTTCAAAGACGAACAGAGAAGTAGCGGGCCGCCGACCACACTCTGAGGACACTCTCAGCTGGGCTGCTCTGCTCAAGCTAAATGCTGAGTATTAACGGGGGCAAACTTACATACCCACGCATCTGGGAATAAAACGGTATGATAAACAGAAAACAGAACTCTCCCCCGTCCTCAGTCCCAAAAACTAGGTGTTTGAGTGCTCCTCATCCACCTCACGGCGGTCAGAGATTTAGAAGCAGTTGCGCCTGTTCGGTCTCCACTAGCCGAGGGGAGCCTGACCGCCAAAAGAAAGTAAGGGGTCCTTCTGGCTCCTGTGGGTGGAATACTACAGAAGCATCGCCTTTACCCCGCATGCTGTTCACTCCTGCACCTCCCCACGCCCAACCTTTTCCGCCCCAGCTGGCAAATCGGCTATTGCTTGCACTGCCACTCGAACCGATATGCGAACAGCCTGAATAAGATACCTCATGTGGGTTAAGGGTGCATGTTTATACCTGTGGTGACACCTGGCATCATACAGAAGGCGAAGTTCTAAGTTTCCTCACTTCCCCAACTGAGAACGCTCACAACTTCTCCATGAATGACGCACATGGTAGTCCCCACTAGACCACACTACTTGCATTCAAGGTGGTGATTCACCTGCGATGCCTTATCAAAGCTGCCTAGCGCTGTGTACATCCACTCTAAATCTGACTTGACTGCAAATCTTTCACCCTTGCAGGTATCCAGTTGACCAGGCAGCGCATACTTCGCTGATTTGCGAACCCGGCGTTCTACATACCACGAGGGTGCCTGAAATAAATAGCAATAGGGGAATGTACTCTGCTGCTTCTTACTGGGTACACCTTCCCCAAAAAGAAAGGGTGATCAACGGGGGGGATTATCTGGCATGTTTGAAATGGAGGTAGTTAGATTATGTCTGAAAGCTACCCCATATTCAAACGACTTGCGACACTTTGGGCGTCACTGAGTCCAAGTCGGAATCGATTGCTTTAACGGAAGAAAAGTGAAAAAGTAGAGCTAACTTTCGGCAGAAACCCTGGGCATACGCAGATATGCTGCAACAAACAAGTCTGGTAGCGCGTGGTAGCGCTAGTGGGATGGAACAATAACGGAGCACAGCAGACGCTGACCGGCACCCTTTACGCCGTAGACGGTGTTGACGCACAGCTCCCAGGAGATGAAATAGACCGCCGATATTCAACTTAAAAAATGAGACTGAAAGCGGAAGGAACACTATGAACAGAACGAACCTCAGACTACAACGTGCTCTGGCTTTCCACATACGGCATCATAAGCATTATATGAACCTGAATGCCCACCAAGAGGGTGCTGGCTGCCTATATTTGCTTTAGCGCTTGTTGGGTTGAGTTGTGAAGCCACGCAACACGCGCAGGACTGGCCCTTGTGGCATCCACAGCTGAAATCATCATCACATTCGCAGCCACTCACGTTTTTTCGTGGTGGTACGGATACGTCCAGGTAACGCCCAAGTGTAAGGAAGCCTATAGCCATTCCCCCAAGCATTGAAAGGAAAATCCCCACGTTGAAAGTCATAGCTACCAGCATCAGCATGTAATCCCAAGAGTAATTCAAGAAGGCGACCGACCCACGTATGGCATTTTGGTAGACCGGTAAGGAGCCGAGGAGTAGAGTCGGTTTGCCTTTCTGCTCGGACATCTTCAGATGGGCTTCTGACAAGCGGCGCAGGACCTTCAGTGCAATGGAAATAAAGCCAAATACAATGCAACACACACAACAGACAATGTACTGGGCCGTCGTCCTAGCGTTCCACCAAGAAAAGAGCAACAAAACCTCCGTTGAGGCTTCAAACCACATGGGCAGGGGAAGGGCGCATTTATCCAGCATGGCGCAATCTGTATTGACGCGGATGCTCGCAGTCGATATCAATGGAAAAAGGGCGGCAGTGCAAAAGGCGAAGCACGCACATCCGTTGGGTGGACACAAACTCAATTCACTCTGCAGAAAATCGGTGGGGAGAAGAAACTATTGCCTTCCAGCCTGCGTTGTCCTTGTCTCTTTCCGAGATTCCGCAACAGAGCAAGACGGCCAAGTACTCGCACGGAAGGAAACAGAGCAGACCCCTTGGTCTGTTAAACTCCTTATAACTCATACAAAAGGTGAAAGATAAATAAGTCTACCATATGCCAGAAATACGAAATAATGATGATCGGTTGTCGTCTGCACTGAGCCAAAGGAAGTCACATGGCCTCCGCATGTCGAGACGGTGGGGCTTGCCATTATTCACTATGAGAAAGTGACCAGCAGTAATTAGTAACTATACACAAGCATTCGTAATGACACGTTTTCACTTATTATCGCTTCTGTGCTCGAAGATAATTCCTTCGCAGCCAGGGTCACAACTGGGAGCGAAGACGCAGCAGTGGCCTAGGCGAAGATCTGTGAGCAGCAAGTGACGACACAAATATGTTCACATGGAAACTACAAAACGGTAGTAGTGGCAGGCTTAGGTTCTAGAATGTGGTGCTGCTACCATGTGCATCAAGCGAGTAGGCCGACAACTACCATCCCCCCTCGCCACCCGACCCACCATTCTGTATACACCACACCACTTCGGCCCGTGCAAAAACAACGGGTAGGATGGGGGCCTCATCACGCCACTCCGCTTATCTGCGCGGCCCCCGGGCTCACCATATACGGGATCTAATTTAAGTCCTACTCAAATGACCACTAGTACGCGGATCGAACTCTGCTATGCCACACTACAGCTGCTATTCCGAACTACAACAGTCCCCGTGCAGAATGCGTCGCGCCCTTGCCATGTAAGCCTGTAGGAACTACATCCTGACTTTGTCTCCTCACAGCTGCCTAACTCGAAAGACCTCTAATGGTTTTGAGTTGCCTGCCCCAGTGGGTTGAGCCGTCTCCCCGTCTATAGATGCCAACTGCAATGCCTTGAGGCACAACTAATGCTGTAGGGATCTAACTTCGGCTACCTTCGTAAGTATCTACTTCTACCACTGATATGTTCATGAAACACTGGTGGTGCAACACACCGGCAACTCACATGGAGACTGTGCAGAAAACTGAAGCCGAAATTGGGTCTTCCCACCTGCCTCTCTCGCCCTCTGCGCCTTTCTCAATTGGCAGTCAAGCACCAAAAACCTCGACCGTGCATTTTGGTAGCGCTTTGGCTACGACGATTCTCGCGCGGATCACTCCAGCGAGGGGATAATGATGATGCAGACAGCTAGGGATGATCTGGCGGCTTCTGAGAGGCGTCTGTGGAGCTCAGTGGGGTGTTATCTGCCCCCATCACGTGGTTTTCATTGCGACTGACCAACTTCGTGCCTCGACGCCCGCCTCGTGAACTATGCAAGTACTGGATTAGGAGGGAGCTGGGTTATACAGTTGCCCACTTCTTGGGCACAAACTACTACGCAAGGGCATATTATGCATGTGCTGTGTGTGGTTCACATGTTTCTCCATGAAGGCAACATCGCAGCAACATGCCTTCGTGTGGTCTCCGGTGCGAAACGAATCGAAGCCAGCATATATCCTTCCACAGCTTTGTCGGAAAGATGAATCTGGTCTCCTCGTCCGCCATCAAATCAGCCCAAAGACCCTAAGGACAATGTCGACGCGACGTTCGTCCTGTTGCTGTCTGATGCTCCACCCTTGACTTTTCTCCTTAGAGACAACAAACGACTCGAGTGCTGCACTATCCCTCCCCCCACGCAGGCCTCATGCTTCTGATCGGCATATCCCCCACTTGAGCGAGAGAAGCGTTTCTTACCGCTCCCCGTTCCTCGCGACGACCCCGACCCCTCCCCTGCAGCACCGGTGCCTGCTGAAGCCGTTGCCTTCGGGAACCTGCAGCGCCACTGTAAGAACGGAAGTCCACGAGAGTACGCAGGCTCAGCGTTGCGCGACAGCTGCGAATCCGCAGATGCACAGACCTTCTTCCTCCATCCACCCGAGAGCCTGCGGCTTCCAGGCAACATCAAACACGAATTGAGGAAGCTGCGCAAGCTGTATGCCTCCTCGCATTGCTTTAGCTCCGCACGGGAAAGAGAAGACTCCAAACGCTCCGCTCTGGTGGATGCACCTTCACAGGAACCCGCGGTTTCCTCTATTTGCGCAAGCGAGCCACCCTCGGGTACTGGGTGATCAGTGAAACTGTCCTGGTCCTTCGAAAGCCTCAACACCCCACCGGCAGATGCGCCCCAACCAGGCAAGCGCTGTAGCTGCAAGGTATCTAAATCTTGAATGCGGCCAAAAATATCTACCAGGTTCTGCTCCCTTGCACCCTCTCTCCGCCACTCCAAAACATCTAGCACAGCATCACGACCCTGACCCCCTACACTTGAGGCGGGACAAACAGCAACTCCGTTTCCCTCCTCTGCATTCGGTAGCCGCAGGAGCAGTGTTGTTGTACCCGCATTATACGAGCAACATACTGGGGAGTACGTCACGTCTAGATGATCCTCTAACCACCGAAGGTTCTCCACCGGGGAGGGCGGGGCAGGCTCTGGGTATACCTGCATTCCTTCGAAAGCCTGTTTTCAGGCGCCTCCGCATTCAATTGCACATCACTTCGGATGTGATTTTTCGATTTATGTCCTTGAGCCAAAGCTGATTCATTCGCAGCTCTGCGCGTCGCGCGGATAACCGGAGAAAATGCGTTGACCGTTCTCCAGTGCCCTCTAAAAAGAGCCTCCGCCGTAAAAAGGTCCCATGAAAATTGCAGAGACAAATCGAGCGCAAAGAGGCAACTGCTGGCGGGGGAGCAAACGACGTTCCCTATTTGGGAGGAGGCGCTTTGAGCGCATCGCGAGGATTGCGACGCAACTCTGCCCCGCACTGAGTGCCTCTCGCATAAGTTTCTGGTATCAGGCGAGACCAAAAACTTGAATTTACAAATTCCCTGCCGAAACAAGGGGACGGAACGCTCAAAAGCGCAGGCATAAGCCTACTCTGCAGCTGCAGTGCGATGCGGGGTGCAACAACGGCAGCCGCGCCCACCAGCCATAGTAGTCACTAAATGCAGCATACCTTGCCGTAGGACCCCTGCTGGCATATAGTCATACGATGAGCTAAGTCGGCATGTTTTCGCTTTACTTTAGTGCCTTGCATCATTCTGTGTTATTTGAGTACTTGTTGGGACAATCATCCAATATATAGTTCATGCACTCCACCTCCTACTGGGACCCTGAAGCGCGCCTGGCTTCTGCTGGCACCCTCCACCTGCTGCCTAAGCACCCGGTGGGGAGTGTGGAGTTCCTTGCGGTAGTTTGGGTCCTGCATGCAGCATATTGCACTTCTTGCGGTTTTTGTTATAGCGCTTCCGTTTGCTTCCACCGCAGGGGGTTGTAAAGGCAGCATCTTTGATCCCCACAGTACGTCAGCCGCTTTTGGTTTAGCTGCAGGCGCTTGTCTTCACCCACCTTGCGGCACGTGGATAGCATAGCGCGTGGGTGGCTTCGTGCTAATTTTTTTGGCAAATCGCTTAATAACGATGAGTGAGGGACGGATGGAGTCAGAGGAGAGGGAGCGCAGGGATGAGGAGGTGGGCGACAGAGATCGGAGCAGGAAGCAAGGCGGGAGCCGCGGCCCTTCGGAAGGCAACTCAGGCGGGCAGGAGGAGGAGCAGCGAGATCTTTCTCACGCCAGGAGAGCCAGCGCGAGCAGTAGCCGGGTTGACGACGGCCTGCAGCAGAGCAACAGAGACCGCAACGACGCAGGGGACGAATGCAATGGCGGCGAAAGGAGGTTCGGCAGCCAGCGTCGTAGCGGCAGCGGAGCTCGTCCACGGCAGCGAGGAGGTACGCAGCAGTATCAACAGGTGCAGCAGCTAATTTACATTTAGACAGCAGTTTCCACCTCACCGTACCAGTGCCGCAGTAAAGTGCAGCCGTGCTCCCTGCAGCAGCGCCGGCAATGCAGTCACTCCGCATTTCAGCCTCTGCAGCAAGGCGTTGAGAGCCTGGCGGCAGCGACTTCTATGCACCTTTATCAAAAGTACGCCTCTCGTGCGGCTTGTTTCGCGGTGTCCATTCAAGAGTGAGCTGGCGTGCCTGACGGTAATGTGTTCGTGGCTCCTGCCTTCTGCCCGCTCATTTTCCCATGGCTTGTGAGTCTCGAGCGGTTTTGGGTCTATTGGACTTGTTTGTTTGTCCAACAGGCGATACAGATACCCTGTATATTAGCAATCTGCCTCTACGCTGCGGAGCACTGGAGCTACGACGCATTTTCGAGGAAGTTGGAGAGGTCAAAGACTGCAGAATTGTCAACAACCCTGTTTCAAGGTATGATCCTACAATTGGAAGGCTATGGTTCCTTTTTTGGTGATCCAGGGAACATCAACTTGTAATGTGTCAGCCTAAGGACATGGCTGCCGCGTGTGGGTGTGCGCAACAGAGAATCTCGTGGTTTTGCATTCTTGTCGTTCGTGGACCCTAGCCACGCAGCAGTGGCCATAGAGCGTTTCGACAACAAAATGATCTTTGGTGATGGCGCCAGGCCAGTTAGGGTGGAGAGGGCTAAACGCAACAAGCCCCATAACCCAACACCAGGCTTTTATAAAGGGCCTCCGGGTATGTGCAGACTGCGGATTTCAAGGACAATTGGTCTTCAGTGCGTGCAAGAGGTAACTGCGTTTTTTCATCGGCTGATACTGTGGCGTGTTGTGCGTCTGTAGGTGCCAGTATTAAGTATGATAAGTCGGGTCGATTGAAGCCAGGATTCCTGCCGTATTACGCTGTTGCACCTGGTGCATCTCGGGAGTTCATTCCGCCCAGCCCTTTCGGAATGGACTACGGCTCCGGTGCGAGGAGCCATTCCGGTGGTCGCTGGGAGGAGCGCGACTGGGGTGCGAGAGGTGGATACGACCCTTCACGGTACTATGACCGTATGGACTATTCCGCGCATGCGAGACAGCCAATGGATTTCAGAAGTGCGAATCCTGGAGAGTTTTCGTATGATATGCGGATGGACAGAGGATACGATATGAGGGCTAGTCGAGGAGGATATGAAGCCCGTGGCGCACCTCCGTATGACCGCGGCGCTCCCGTGTATGATGCTCGTGGCTATGATAGAACTGGCTATGATGCCAAGTGGCAGCAATACGAAGACCCCAGAGGAGATGGAAGGTGAGATTAGTTTCTGAAGTGTTCAGATTTACGCGCACACTGCTGTTGCCTGTGCTAACGCGGATGACTGTTTTTGTGCTTTTCATAGGTATGTTGGTTATTGTGACTACTACGGAGGGAACAGTGGAGCCGGCGCCGCATATGATGTTAATCCCCGTGTAGACAGCCGCGAAGTCAAACCCGTCGGAAGAGAAAGGTCAAGATCGTGAGTTTGCCAATTCCAAAACCATACTCTCTTCGATGGGGTGCAGGCGCGTAGGCTGACCGAATATTTTTATAGATGAATTAAAGCCTTCCTATGTTGTTGACTCAGGAGAGGACGTCGTGAGCGTCGTAGGTCTGCTTCACCGGAAGGTCGTCATCATCGCGCAGGTCGCAGATGATTTAGTACAGAGTGCCGTGGCAGACTGTGCAGTGCAGCGCGGGTTTATCGACGACGCACTTCCGAATGACAGGATGTGGCATTGCTTGTCATGCGCTGTATTTTGGGGATGGAGAAAAGTGGCGATCTGAGCCATTCTGACGTTTTCAAATTCCGTGCATTTGCGGTGCTACGTTTAAAGTAGATTTCGCCTTGTGACTGCGTTGAGTTTACTGTAAGCTAATCGAAAAGTGTCTAGGCGCTGGGAAGTACTATGCAAACTGAAGTGAAAGGGTCTAGATGGGATTCTGAGCTTTTTGCTTCATGATTGCAGTGGAAAAAACAGTGAACTTAATATTTTGCTTGTCTGAGCTCAAATAGCATTCACATCGAATGCTTATCTGCACCTCAGTGCACATTTGGATCAGCGGAGAAGGTATGATCCCTCAGATCCAGCCCAGTCTGCGGAATAATTGTGTAGTGAAGGGAAGCGCAGAACAGTAAATGCTTCGGGAAATAACTTACAAGAAGCATTCATCCACCGAGGTCTTTGCTCCCACAAGCTTTTGAGAGAAAGTCATCAGTAACAGCTAGTCAAAGGGGTTTTGAACAGAGCGCTTACCGATGCAGCATCTCCAGCAGAGAGTGTATTAATCCCTTAATAGTGGGAACGATGTTTTCATATGCGCGCATTACGTAGTGATAGCCGTTTCTGCTCCAGTCGGCAATTATCTCCTTCACCTGCGCGGAGAGGGAATGTTGATTGCTGTACTTTAAGGAGGAAAGGTTGCGATCCTTACTTTATACATCAGCATTTCTCCGTGGTGCTTAAGCTTTTCAAGCGAATAGCCGGCTGCTTGGAGCTGTGCCAAGATTATTGTCCATTGTGGGGCAGGCACTGGACGTCACTTGAACTTACGTTGCGGCCTATTACATAGACGAGCGCAGCAGCTTCAGCAAGCATCAATGACAACGAGATTGCGAAGAACATCGGGGCGGATTCGGCGCAGATTCCGACACCCATGCTCGCAAAACCTCGAGCAGACCTGTGGAACAGCTGGTGTCACGAGAAAATATAATAATAATTCGACTATGCTCACCAGAAGAGGAGAAGTGCTGGACATGCGACTAGTGCAACGGATGCCGCAGCGGAAAGGAGGCCCTGTGAACGAAGGATAATACATAGAGTTCATGGCTTTGGTTCTGTGATTCTATTTTGTTACCTCAGACATCAGTTCTCGCATTGATGTCTCCGCCTTGTACACTCTGAATCCAGCCTGAACGAAGGGGTTGGAGCTACGTTCAAGCCTTAGGGTCAATAACAAATTTCCGTCTTACTTGCATTGCCCTGGGATTTACGCGGGTGGCGAAATGGGCAGCTGCAGCCAGGGAGCCACACAAAATTGCATTCACTACGTGCCACTCCGACTGCGAAGGCTTTATAATCATGTTAAAAAACTCGGACTATGAATCTTGGCTCACCAGGTCCATGTCGCACAAGCTGTTCGCAAACAGGAGACTTGTGAGCAGGCTCACTGCTGCAACAGCACTGCAGACAGGAGTGGCCTTGTCAAAGCTCCTGGCGAAAGTCTCCTCTTGGCCGTACATTTTCTCGAAGTAGTGAGAATGAAAAAGACTTGGGGTACTGGGCCTCGAAGTAGAGTGTGGATGAGAAACTGTTGATGTGAGTCTTCGAACGGTTTCTGGTCTGTAGAATGATGTATAGCGCACTGCGGTTGAACTTCGGATGTCCATACACCTGAACCTATCAGTTGATCGCAACAAATCCTGCATATTGTTCCATTGCAGGCAGTTTGTACTCAGTGGTCTATATTGTAAAATTTCCGAAAGGGCAGCAAAATAACTCCGAAAATGTACGCCCAAGAGGAAGCCTTTAAGAAAAGCGCTGATTTCGCGCTTTCTACGAGCACTGTACTCAGTGGAGTCTGCCTTGCAGCAGGTATGCACTTAGTTTATACTACTGTTTGGCACGTGCGCTAGGATTTTTCTTCAGGGTTTTTACTTTCTAACACTGTGTGCGGCCCCGAACTGGTAAGCTTACTAACATTCGCGCAAATTGCCAATGCATCTGTTGATCGGTCTTTATTGACAGTCTGAGTGGAACATTGTCAATGCTGTCCTCTGTGGCTCACTGGCCGCTTCCATTCACTTCGCTCTGAAATCCTCCCCCAGGGTTATGCAGGTTAGTGCAATTGCTACATTCAATAAGCAATACAGCAGAGTCATCGCTTCCGTTACAGAATGCATTTCGCCTCTACAAGGGACAAATTTCGCCAAATGAACTGATGGCTGATGTAAGAATTTGCCTAACAACCTTTCGTTACATCTAAAAATTATCTGTTGCACACAGGGAATGCTAATTGCAGCAGTATCCATTGGCATCGTCGCGATACCCGCAATCCTTGTTGTGTGGTCTATCAATGGACTCTTTAGCATGACCATCGGCACCTGCGCCGAGTCAGCTCCTCTGTTCTATATTGTAACGCTAGCCGTAATGCTAGCTCAGATTCTTGCGATCATGAACGCAGCCAAAATCAACGTAAGTGAACACTAATTGCCAAGTGAAACCCGTTTGAAATTGCCATATCACTGCATCATCAGATGGAGGCTGCTGGATACAACGTTCGTAACATTGAAAGCGCTGTTCACGAATGTGCTTCCAAGGTAAGCATATTCATATATGTTTAGCTTAACTTTAGATGGGTAATTCCGCCTTGTACAGTCCAAAGAGGTAGCCATGGACTTGGGCCGGAGTGCTCATGTGATGGCCATGCATGCAACAGATCGTGCAATCCCACTTCTTTACGCCACCCTGGAGAAAGGAAAACAGTATGCTGACATATAAACTATATACGAATTTGTTTCGCCGCTCAACGCGCGTTTCAGTTTGTTTGAGTCGAGGCCAAGATACATGACAATGGAATGTAAGCTGCCCTGAGTTTTTTCCCCTCTAATTGCCACACTAAAAACAATTTTCAGACTGGACTGGACCAGAAGGGCGCTCGCTGCTCCGCTATTGAACTTGATATCCTGTCGGAAAACCTGGCTGGCTTGCATTTGTGTTGACACATGGGGGGGCAAGTCACTACTGTGTTCCCCGCGGAAGTCGCTACAAACTCTTGACAGTCTTTAAGTTGGCAAAAAAATTGTTTTGATTTCGAGATTTGCTACTGGCTCTAGACATGGCTTAGCATACGTTACAGAATCATTCGTAGCGCACCAAGTTTGACCGTGGTAGCAGGCTTTGTTGTAGTAAAGGCATATCTTTAAGAAAACAGAATTATAATTAGCCCATTTAATGAACATATGAACATTTTTAATTTGACATGTGGAGCTGGAATAATTCGATCGTACGTGCTTAGCCATGTTGGGGTGCCGTCATAAACTACACACATACACGGAGTATGTCCGGCTATCCCCACCGTGGGCACACCTAACGAAGCAAAACAAGAACACTCCCGCCACATCCGGAGCTGACAGAATAAGAAATAGTTATCTCTAGAAATCCAGAATAAGAGATCCAAGATAAAAGAACAATATATACGTGTATGGGTTAATCATGCAGGGGCCAGAGTGACCCCCCTGCTGTGGTCGGCACTGATAACAAAGCAACGCTCATTGGCCAAACAACTCATTTAATGTAATCTGCCGCGTGTATATCAAGAAACCTATGGAAAAAGCCTCGATACCGAAGAACAACTTTGCAACGGCATGAATTAGCACATATGGTGAGGATCTGTCTCCAAAAGCTAACCTATTGGGGAAAAGCTGGGTCTTCCTCGTCGGAGATTCGTACACAACGTAGAGTGCACGGACTTACGCAAGGTTTTGGTGGGAAATAAAAACAACAATGTTAGTACCAATTTGCATCGGCAGCTGATATGGATACTTGATTGAACTTGTTTCTTCACTGCCTTACAGCGTTCAAGTACCCTAGTGTGTAGCATATATACTTCTAATTAGTCGCGAGTTTTTGCTCTTATGTTAAAGTATGCCCCGTTGGAAAGGACCACGCAGTAGGGCGACACACTGAATTGTTAAATTCAGCTCCTTCTTGTGAAGATCAACGCAACCATATTCTGCAAGCATCACAATCAACCGAATTCCCCTGCTGTATTCTTCCATATTTGGAGTGCCACCTCCTCGCCTTACCTACCCGCTTTGCACATTACAACATTTCAGTCGTGGTACGTGCAAATTTTGCTGAGGGTCACGGTGAGGGTCACGGTGTCGAACTATTTTGTAGGCGAATGCATTGATATTTGTTATCCAGGACGAAATGAAGGAAGTAACGAAAAAGGAGAACGACTGCCTGAAGGATTCGCATAATGATAAACAAGGGTATATTTATTTCCCCTTTTCCGTAGGGTAATTAAAGGTAACAACGACCCTGCAGTATTGTTCTTCCTCGTGTATTCTGAACTGCATGCAGCTACGACGGTTTCAGTCCTTTCCTGCGGCTATACAAAGCGGCTATAGAGAGGAGGCAATGCCAGGAAAGGAGCAGGTGCATTCTTCAACAGCTTCAATGCGCTGCGGCGCAACCCGAAAAAGTATGGCTGGATTGGATCTCTAGAATATCAAAGCAGATCGGGTCGTGAAAAACGTGCCGCCAAACTGGCGTAATTAGATGGCATGTGCGGTGGGCGTGCTTCTTTACAGCTGATTCAGAGAACTGAAATCAACCCGCGCTCAGTCTACGATCGCGTAGGTGTTTCCTTCGGTTTGCTGCATTGGGACGGGGTTCAGCTGCTCAATACGAAACTTACAGAGGCTTAGGTAAGCTTTTGCAGGAGTTGTTTCAGAGCCACTGACGCTGAGCTTTCCGACTGAGTCCGTCTGCTGGGTTGTTTTACACCAGGCGTTTGCCCGATGTCAAGCAAAAATCGAGAAGAGCCACCAAGAGCAGCAGGAGGTGCGAGAGAACAATTAACTGCCCGCTTGTTTTGGATAAGTGTTAATCCGTATGCTGCCGTTAGTTTTCACTCCAAAAGCAAGTGAATGGCATTGTTCAGAGGCTCGTAGAAGAACTTAACTGCTGTACATTCCACCCCATCATTTCAGCGCGGTCACGACGGCTTGCTGAATCTCGGAGCCGAAGGAAATACATGGAAAGCAAAGAATTGCAGCAACCGTGCACGAGAGGATCAGAGAAAGGTGCGAGTACCTTCACAACAAAATGCTGTTGCCCACATAGCAACGTGGCGCACATTAACTTCTAGAAGCGTGCCACACGTTGCATTCTACGATCCTCGGTGTACGACAGTGGGAAACCGCAACATATTCATGCGAACGAGTGACGTCCATGCCCATCTTAATTATACTGATAAAAAGACGCTTTCACTTCTTTTGCCGTGCATAACAGAGTCTGCGGCGGAGGTAAAGAAATCTAGAAGTCTTGCTAACTCTTGCCAGCGCGTGTATCCTTGCTTCCAGAAACGGTGAGAAGCCACTTAAGTCAAAATGCAGTCCCGGCGTTTATTGTAGGCCATTTGCATCAGTAGCATATAGTAAAACGAGTTATCACTGACGTGGGTCTCCCAAATGCTGTTTCGTTTGGTGCCATGAGTGTGTTGGAATATGTGACTCGTCATCTCGCCGTTCAATCCAATCAAAGAAAGCGGCACAACTAAACGAGACTCACTGCGGAGACCGGAACAATACTCACGGGACCCCTGCCATCAAATTCTATGTTTTGACTTCACTTGTGTTGAGCCTCCTCACGTCATTTCCTTTTTGCGTGGAAATTAGCTCTAGAGCTGATAATCTTGGTTAATTGTTGTTCCTCAGACTCCAATTCTACATGCTATCTCGCGCTCTCAGACGGCACTTGCTGCAAGAGAAAAGAGTACGTGGATATGGGTAAAATCTGGTTGGTAGGGAGTTCGCATCGATAGCACTACTCAAATTGTAACACCGTTTTCCATGCAAAAATGAAAGCTTGTGTTCTGAACGGGCCGCTGCAGAAGCTGGAGGAGACATTCGACCTCCAGCTATGCCGTCGATCTGAAATTCTCGTTCTCGCAAGGAACAGGGTGAGCGCAGCTGGGCTAAGCAGAAATCCGGGCAGCTGGCTAGAAAATGCCGATACGGGAAGTTTTTACACAGTTCGTACGCAGTATGGTTGGGGTTAGGGGATGGGGAAGGAACGATGTGTCTTACTACTTTGTTTATTAACGCCTGGTTGTGAGTCCGTTGACGGATTCTTGAAATATATATTACTGAGATTCGTGCTTAACGGTTATTTGTTTTTTAGAGACCTGATGTTACAGTGCCCAAGGCTAGTAAGCATGAGGCGGCTACCCCAAATTGGGCGTTCAGACCAACCCTGTGCGAAGTCTGTCGCCTTCCCTTATAACTCTTTTTCTTTCCAAGTGTACTCTAAGCTGCACACTTCATGGCCAGTCCAGCTCGTCGGACACCCGCAAGTCCACCAGTAACTAAGGCAGAATAAACGACCTTAACGCCTAAGGTGTGATGCGTAGACTATGAGGACTGGGGATTAGGCAATATGATCACGGGTGGATTTAGGGTTGTGTATGCTACAGAAATCCAGGAGAATCGCCAAAGCAGTCGAACGCAGGCGAGCTGCCGCACAAAGTGCTGAGGTGTGAGCCTTTGATCTCCGTTTGCACCTTAGACCACAAAATGGGTTTACTCCCGAATCAGCTTCAGGTGAACGGAGTATGTAAACTTGCACTGAGGAAGGTGTAAAAAATGCCACTTGGGTCTCAACTGGGTTGTTGCAGGAAAAGCAAAAAAGTAAAGAAAGAGGCGGAAGACGGAGAGGCAGAGGCAAAGACAGGTACCAACAAACAGCTTCCCGGGAGTTCCTTTCGCACTCAAGAAAGCAAATCACCGCAACAGAGGAACGAGACAAACAAAGTCAGCAACAGATGCACAAAACGACCACCCACAACACCCGCCACACAGGAGGTTATAAAGCAACCGAGCGAACGACCTCACTGCTTGCTAGCGTATACAATTTGTAGCTGGCTGTTTACGCCTTCTGATATGCAGATTTCATCTCCCCAAGGCTTCAGGCTAAAAGAATTAACCAAGTGCAGCAAGAGCTCACGAACACGGGGTAGCACACTGCAAGCGGCCGCGCTCTCGCCTCGAGGTTTGATGGTCTTTTTCCTACGAATTTGTTGTTATCTCAGGCTGCTAAAGGAGGAGAGAGTCTAAAGTGCAGGAAGGGCAGATCTTATCTTTCTAATCTGTCGGTAAGAAATGCTTTCATTCATATGGCGGTTGACACAAACAGCGCCAGCATTGTAAGCTGCAGTCACCGTGCCCATGGATAAACATTCAAGACAGTGGAAGACGCTGCTCCTGTGTGCGTTGTTACTGCTACTTCCGTGTTTCTGGTATGGTAAGAATTACCTGGCAGAGCTGGAGAAGAAAAGGAGAGACAAGGAAGCTCTGCGGTTGGCGAGACAAAAGCAGCTGTAATAAACATCCACAGGAAGCAAGATGTAGAGAAACCATTTGCAGGTTCACTGGAGCAGCAGCACCGCAGTGATAATCCTTCGTTGCTTGGTCTAATAGTTGAAACGTAAGTTAATCTGCTAGCAAGCGACAAAACAATGAGCAGCAAGGTTGTGTGTTGCCAAGTCTGTGATGCCGGTGACTGCACAGAGACGAAGAAGAAATGCGAGAATGTTCGTTCAAACCCCAAATCCATAAAATGCCCAAAAGAAGTCCGTCTATCGTTTATAATAAACAAACGTCCACTGCAACGAACGTATCAAGTTTATATGCATTTCTTTTCTGCATGCGTCGGTTGCATGCATCTTGTTGATTGTTAGTCCAGTGGCTAAGCAACACAGCCACTACCTCTGTCGGGGCTAACAAAACACGTGCAATGCAAGCAGTTAGTGAGTGAAATGTGTTGCCAGTTTGCCTCTTCGTTGTTCGTCCGTCCCTTCATTAGTTGTATTTTCCTTGACTGTTCGCCTGCCTGCCTGATGGTATGGCCAATATTTGTTTGGGTTTGCCGTTTGTGTTGATTTGATGCTCAACTCTATTTCGTGTGCTCCGTTTGCTGGCCTCTAGTTGGCGTTTTGTTTATTTGTTTGCTAACTTACTTGTTTGTTCTTTTGCAGCTCCACAGACGAATTGCTTCAGTTGGCTTAGTGTACCTGGAAGTGACAGGTGTTGCCTTTCAGCCTTTTAGCCTCCCTATTGCTGTTTGTTGTTGATTGCTTTCTATATATTGATAAGCATAAATTTGTTTAGCTTCTCCCGGCAGTAATCATTATTTACAGCTGCAATTCTTCTCCGCTGCTGCTCTCCTTAGGAAGTGAGCAGTTAAGAGGATTACGAAGGCGGTGTGTTGCTGCATTTTGTCATCTTCTGCAGGTTCCTTGAGTTACGGCTAATGGCAAGAAGCCAAAGAGGAGAGGATCGCATCCCACTTAGTGCTGCTGCTGTTCCTGCTGCTGCTTGCTGCACACGGCCCTAATGGTTTGATTCTTTCCTGCCTTGTTCTGGGTTGAATCCGCTAGGAAGTTGCAGCAGGGCAATATTCGTTGAACTTTAAGGGGTTGTACTCTATGAACTCAAACAAACTTTGCTGCAAGCAAGTATTTTGCTTCCTGTACTGCACACACCGTTCCATACATGCAGCTGAAGGGTATTACTACAGATGCCTCCCTCTTAACTAGATTTGCATGCAGTGGATTGCCTAAGAAGTGGTTATAAGGATATTACGGAGAGTTTCTTGGGTTTGCGGCTGCCGTTTGAGGCAGCAGCATTTAATATCTTTTTTCCGCTTTGTGCACCAACGCAATCGGGGGTAATGCGTGCAATTGGGGCGCATATAAACAAAATAAAACTTTTTAAAGAAAATCTGTTTAGGAACTCCCAAGGAAATCCTTTAATAGATTATCTGTATAGTGAGACAGGTGCTGCTTGACGTTGTCTTCCCGTGGCCTTCTTTAGGAGGCCCGTTCAACTAACTTCGTATCCAGATAGCTGCGCAGTTAGCTAGCTAAAACCTATTCAGTAAGCTAGCTAGCTAGAATGCAGCCAGGCAACTGCGTCCGTAGCTAGTAGGTGTGTTTTCCCTTCTCTAGCTGGATGCTCCTCAGAGAACCAACATCCCTGCGGTGGGTTGGCTGTTAGCTATCTAGCTAGCAAACCAACTTGCTATCACTCAGACGCCTCAACGCCCTCGTCCACCTCTCCCGCGCCTGGAACCTCCTCTCACCGCTGCTACTGCTGCTGCAGCTGCAGCTGCTATTTTCTTGGCTGCGTTTGCTGCTGCTTGAGACACTCCCCGCTGCTTTTGCTGCAGGGGCTGCTTCTGCTGCTGCTGCATGTCTGTCTGGGGTGTTTCGGCCTCTGTCTGTTCCTTCTTGTCTTGCTCTTTCTGTTCCTTTGTCTTATTTCTTTTACCCTTCCCTACTCCAACTGGCTGTGGACGCCGCGGCAGGCAGACGTCTACTCCGTGCGCCGTCGTGAGCTCCGCCGCCGTTGCCTCCCCGGGGTCTGCAGCAGCAGTAGCACCGGCTATTCCACCGGTGGCATCCGCAGAAGCCCCTGCTCCTGCTGTTGATCCAACAGCTTCATCTGTGGGAGGTGGAGGGGGAGAGGTGTTGTCGCATGCTGCTGTGGACAGCCTCCTCTTGGCACTGCTGCTGCAGTGGGGAGGGCCCTCTGCTGCTGCTGAGGGGCCCCCCAGAATAGAACTTTGGGTGACTCTCTTCTTGAGCATTTGCTGCACTTCTCCCTTTCGGGCCCTCTTAAGAGGCCTCGACTTGCTTTGAGCACAGGGGCCCTCTACAGCCTGCTCTGCAACGGTGGTACTTCTGCTTCCATGTGGAGTTGGCTCTGCACCCTCTTGCTGCTGCTGGCTTTTCTTCTGTTGGTCTTGCTTCTGCTGTTGCTGCAGCTGTTCTTGTTGTTGCTGGTTTTGTTGTTGTTGTTGCTGCTGTTGTTGATCTTGCTGCTGCTGCTGCTGGCCTTGCTGCTTCTGCTGTTCTTGCCTTTGGCTGTTAGAGCTTAAAAGGAACTGTTGCAGCGGTAGCATCCTGCGTGTGCGTATGCACTGTAAGAGCCACTCTGTGCTAACAAGAGGGACTCCATCGAATCCTGGTAGCAGCACCTTTAGCCTCCCCACTGTTACTCTATAGGTGCTATTCTTAGAGCAAAAGGTGCAGGCAGGAGCTCTTAGGGCCCAGGGTCCCGCACCTTGCTGCCTCAGGTGCACAGACAGGTTCGCGTTGCCCATGCCGCCATACCAACCCAATCCACCTAAAAGTCCCATAGAACGCTGCGAGGCATCAGCAGAAGTCTTAGAGCCCGATCTTCCCGACCGCAGGCTCTTAAGGGGAGAGCAAGAGGGGCCCTTAAAGGGCGAGCGGGAGGGGCCCCTATAGGGTGAGCGTAGGGGGGCCCTAAAGGGGGATCGGGGGAAGGCCATAAAGGGGGAGCGGGGCGGGCCCCTGGAGCTCTTGAGGGGAGAGGTTGGTCCTGCTTGAGGAGAGTTTTTCTTCATAGAAGAAGAGATGCCCTTTAACGGAGAAGACACATTCCTTAAGAGAGGAGAGGGGCCCCTAGAGGGAGTGGCAGCAGTGGTTTTGTGCTGTTTAGACAGAGCAACAGGTGTTGAGAGACCCCTCCAGTCGCTGCAGTCGTTGGTGTTGGGAGCCCTCCTCTGGGGGGTTCTGTCAGGGGCCCTTTGTGGTGGTGGCGGGGCCCTATCTAGGGGGCTTCGGTCAGTAGTTGTGGTGATGCATATGCGTGGACTTGTTTGGTTCGGATTTGCTACTGCTCCTGCTGCAGATGTTGTTGCCGCCGTTGGTGATGCTGCTGCTGCACTTGATCCTGCTGCTGTTGGTGTTGCTGCTGCTGCACTTGTTCCTGCAGCTGTTGGTGTTGCTGCTGCTGCAGATTCAAGAGCCAGTGCACTGAGCCGTTGAGGCCTACCTGAGCGGCTGTCTTTACGCTCAGGGGTTTGCGGTTCCTGAGGGCCCCCCGAAGGCATTGGGGGAAGGAGGAGATGAGGAGAGGGCTGCCGATCTCTGTCTTCCCTGAGGTGCGGGCCCCCTTTAGGAGAACGCGGGCCCCCCTTAGGGGAACGGAGCCCCCCTTTAGGGGAGCGGGGGCCCCTTTTTGGGGAGCGGAGGGCCCCTTTAGGGGATGGGGCAGCCCTGTGTCTGTGGAGATGGTTGTGACTAATGCAATTATCTTCAGGTCTCTCTATATCCAAGACAGCAGCAAAGACAGGCAAGTGCTGGAGGCCCTGGTTGGGGGCCCCCGTAGGGTCGAGATTTAGGGATTTAAGGAGTTGCAGCAATTGCCGTAGCACAGCAGAAGGAGATAGAGAAGGCAACAAACTAACAGATACACCCCACACATTACGTAGCTCATCTAAGGGGACAGATAACGAAGGAAATGTCTCCTCCCTTATAAACAAATGCCATCCAAACAAAGGCAGTCCCCATGGCTCCTGCAGATAGACATCACAAGGGGGCCCCTACACTGGCAAGGAGTTATTATTAGTCCTGCTTTCTGCGAGCAGCAACAGCAGCAGCACGCGAACAGCAACAGCAGCAGCAGCAGTACGCGAACAGCAACAGCAGCAGCAGCAGACAGAGAGCCGCAAAAATCGTCTGTGTTTGTCTTGCCTTGATAGCTCGTAGAAGAGGAGGATCTGTTACAAAGACAATCTCCTCAGGTAGGGGGGGAGAGACAACAGGCAGCAGCGCATGCGTTGCTGCGGGGTAAGAAGCAGGGGCCTCTATATGACTGCTTGCTGCACTGCAGCAGGGGGGGAGGCCCTCCAGCTGCAGGTGACGAGCAAGAGAAGATGGAGGATCTACTTGGCCCTGCACAGCAACAACCAATCAGTAGCAAGATCAACTGTAGCAGAAATAAACGGGTACCAGCAGCAGCAAACGAGCAGCAGCAGCAAAGAAAGATGCAGCAGCACAAAAGCAACACACAGGCAACATACCTCTAAGAGCGATCTGTAGACCCATAAAGCCGTCACGAGGTGTACAGACACCTCAGCAGCAGACCTCTGCTGTATAGACAGCAAAGCCCTCAATTGAGCAGCAGCAGCAGCAGAAACGGAAGGATCTTCTAGCACAACACCGAACAGCTCCACACTAGCAGCCTTCCGCACGCTGCTGCCCCCTCCTAATGCAGCAGCAGCTGCTGCTGCCGTTCCTGCTGCTGCTGCTGCGGCTGCGGCTGCCGCCGCAGCAGCAGAAGCAGCAGATACAGCATGGCTGACAGAGGCACAGACAGTCAGTTTTCCTTTAAATGCTTCCTCCTCCAAAGCCATACGAATCAATGCAGACAAGGGGCCCGTCGTCACGCCACCCACGTAGCTGCAGCAACAAACCCTAAAACCTAAACCCTAAACTCTAAACCCTAAACTCCAGCACCTAAACCCTAAAATAGACCTGTTAGTGACAAATGGGGTACGCGATATGCATTAAACACATGAGCTCTAGACCCTATCGCCAGTACCAGCAGTAAGGACACCCCTAAACCCTAAACCCTAGACCTCGTTACTGATGGACCTGTGCCGTTTAGGGTCTTGATTGGCTTCTTCCGCGACGATGCAGACAAATCTTTGAGGTGCAGCAGCAGAGGCAGCACCTGTAGCTGTGGTGTATGGGTTGTTGTTGCTTGTGACAGCAAGAGGGTTTAGGGTTTTCGTCTTAAAAGGGTTTAGAGCATATAACCAAGAAGGACGAAGTAACGGACTAAAATCAGCATCAAAGGGAGGGGGGCCCCCAAACTCAGCAAGATAACGGAAGTAGACTGCAGACACTAGACACTCTACTGGTGTCTGCTGCAGCAGCTGCGCATGCTGCAGCAGCAGCAACACAACAAACCCCACACATACACACAAACATACACAATAATTATCCAACAACCGGAAGAACAAGCAGCAGAAGGAGCAGGAGGAACAGCAGCAGCCGGAGCACCGGCAGCAGCAGCAGCAGGTCGTGAGAAGAGTAAAAAGAAGCAGCAAAAAGGGGATGTATTATCTTATAAGTAATAAAATATTTATTTAAATTGCCCTACTTCTCTTCTTGTTGCAGCAAATCGGCTAATAACTAAAGGAATGCAAAGACGCAAACAATCAGCATCATCGGCCTCCACTTCTACACCTTCTACACCTTTATCCCCTTCTTGTCCTTCAGTGGCCCCTGGGGGCTCCCCTGGGGGCCCCCCGTTGCTACGACTTGCTGCTATGACTGCCTGAATTGCCCGCCGCTCCGTTACACAACGACGACGTAGCTGTACCCATCACAACAGCAGCAGCAGCAAACGAAGCAAATCCGGCACATGCAACAACAGCACTTGAACAATCAGCACTACTTGCAGCTGCAACAGCATTGGAAGCTACGGCAGCAACAGCAGCAGCAGCAACAGCAGCAGCAGCAACAGCAGCAGCTGCAACAGCAGCATACTTGAGGCGGTAACTGCTCTACTAGGTCTAGCTTATGGCAATAAAACAAAGTGGGGGCCCCGGGGGCATCTCGGGGGCCTGGGGGCCCTTGCTCAGAGTCGTAAGGGAGAGCCAACAGCTGCTGCTGAGGTGGATGAGCTGCTGCTGCAGCAAACAGACACATCAAAGATAAAAACCAGTTCTGCTGCTGCTGTTGTTTTTGATACTGGTGCTGCCGGCGGGGAGGGATAGACAGACTTGCAGGCCATGACTCGACAGCAAGCGCATCAGCAACAGCAGCAGCAGCAGTAGCAGCAGCGTTCATTGTTGAAAGGGCTCACCTGTAGCAGCAGCAGCAGCATCTCTAGCAGCATCACGTGCTAGCTGCTGCAGCGCTTGCTGCCTCTCCCTTTGTGCCCTTTCCCCCCAATTAGTCTCGGGTACAAAACACCGCAAAACCCTAAAAAGGGGTTTAGGTAAAGAACCACCATAGGTCTGGAAGTGACGCCAAACCTGTAACATACAACACATACAAACCCTAAACCCTAAACCCTAAATTTAAAACACTAAAAGGAAAGAAACAAAAATAGAAGCCCTCGCAAGCTTGAGGAAAGCAATTACAAAAGAGAAAAACATCAATAGGAGGGTTCAGGATCGAGCATTAGGGGTTTAGGGTTTGTCTTGGGGTTTAGAGATGGATTTATTAGGGTTTAGGGTATAAATAGGGTTTACTCTTTCTCCTGGGAAGCACTGCAGAACACCTGGTTCATAGAAAGGGGCCCCCTGATGTGGTTGTTGTAGGAAATTGAAGGAGAGGGTACAATCCTTGAGGGCCCCCACACGCTCGAGTGTATGTACTGCATGAAGAAGTTCCTTCTGACTTTGTGGCAGAAGGAGGCCCTTTATACGTAACCTCTTTACACTCTGAGGTGTACAGACACAGCAGAATGCTTACGTATAATACCTTCGTGCAGCAGCAGCTGTAGCAGCGGCAACAGCAGCAGCAGCTCTCATTCAAGTTATACATGAATTCTATAGCCCGTGCGTCTGCTGCTGTTGCCCTTTCCAAGCAGCAACACCAACGGCAGCAGGAGGAGCACCAAAAGCAGTAGCAGCACGCGTAGAAGCAACAACAGTAGCAACACGAGATGCAGCAGCAGCAGCAGCCCTACCTCTGTAGACTGTTGTGTACGGGCGAGTACAGTCTCTGTGAATGTAACAGACCCATCCGTCACCCTCGCACCCCTCACTTGAAAGTTTGCCACCACCAGAAACACCTGCAGCAGCAGCAGCAGCAGAAACAGGAACAGGTAGAGTCGTAGCCGCCGCCGCAGCACGAACATCACAGAAGGGAGCATCACAGCTGCACTGGTAGCAGCAGCACAGCAGCAGTCAAAGGAGCAAAACAAACTGCAGCTGCAGGAGAAACAGGAGCAGCAGCTGCAGCAGCTGCTGTAGCAAATTGCTGCTTAAGAGCTCAAAAGGATAAGGACGAACTTGCAGAGGGGGTCCCAATGTTCTTCTGTTAATAGCAGTGTTGGATTTGCTGCCAAGGGAATGATGTGCTGCAGCAGCAGCAACAAACGATTGGTATGAAGGGGGTACACCTGGGGCCCCTGGAGGGGGCCCCGCAGCATCTAGCTGCTCATGAAGACTCATAAATGCCCGCAGCAGCTTTAGTAAGGCACGGGCTTGCCGACGACCTGCAACACACAAACCCTAAACCCTAAACCCTAAACCCTTGAAGAGAGGGTTTGGTGAATCGAGGACTGCCGACACACTCGAATATGCTGACCAACCTATGAATACGTCCAAACCTAAACCCTAAACCCTAGATGTTGTACGGACCATCAAAGACGAAGGCATGGAGGGTGAAGGAGGGCCCCAACTTAAGGGTTTGGTTTATTGTTTGCATTTCATCTCCTCCAAATGGGGCCCCCATATCTATACCATCGGCAGGGGCCCCCGCGCTGGAGAGGGCCCTCTTGCGTCTTGCCTCCTGTTGCTGCTGACATGCAGCAGCAAAACCCTTGGGGAACTCTGCCTCTAATGCCTCCTCGTGTTGCAACAAAAATGACCTGCACAACAGCAGCAGCAGCAACAGCAGCAGATAAGATGCAGCCTCTACAGTTTAAGAAAAAGTGGCCGCACGGTGCAGCATTAGCTGCACTAGCTCTCTGCTGCTGCTTCCTTTTCTATTCCTGTTACTGCTCGTTTGCTGCTGCTATTCATACTGCTCCTACTATTCCTGCTGCTGTTGCTCCTGCTGCTGTTGCTCCTGCTGCTGCTGCTGTTCTTACATGAAGAAAGGAGAGACCTTGGTAAGAATAATTTTTTGTGTAGAAAGGAACCCCGAGAAATGATTTGAGCAAATTGCTGCTTGCCGATAAATTGATGGAATATCATGAAGTTGTAAAATTACATCTAATAAACCAACACGGACAGCATTCAGACTATCCATTGCCTTGCTGCTGCTGCTGCTGCTGCTGCTGCTGCTGCTGCTGCTGCCGCTCCTGCTGCTGCTGGAGGAGGAGGTGGTTGTGGTGGTGCTGCTGCTGTGGCTGCGTATACGGGATCCAAAGGGGACGTCACCAACTTCTTTATGAGATTCGCCTGTTGTGGCGCTGAAGGTGTCATCATCTATACCAACATGATGCTGCTGCTGCTGTTGCTGCTGCTGCTGCTGCTGATCCAGCTTAGAGGGATTGTGCAGCAGTTTAACAGCAGCAACAGGCCCCCCTTTGCCATGAAGAGGTAATGCGCCATCTGCTGATGTACCTTGCCTCTGTTTTGTCCCTACTCTTGCAGCAGCAGCTGCAGCAGCAGCAGCAGCAGCAGCAGGAGGCGCTGCTTCCAATATAAAGTAAGTAAGGGCCCTCTTAAGTGCTGCTGCTGCTTCGACAGCAGCCATCTCCTTCTCGTCAACAGTATCAACTACAATATGTCCCTGCACCTCTTTTGGGGGGCCCCCTTGGGAGGCCTCCGTGGGGCCCCCAGAAGGGGCCCCCGTTGCTGCTAGGTTGCCGCAGAGACAAACCCCAAGAGGGTTTGACGCGTTTGCTGTTTCTTGCAAAAGATTTAATGAATTTGTTTGTTCTTTTTCTTCTTGTGTAGGGGGGGAGGCTAGCACCAAAGAAAGACAATCTTCTTCCCCTGATGGGGCCCCCTTCCTCCCCTTGCCGCTGCTGCTGCTGCTGCCGCTGCAGTTGCTGTTGGCCTCGGGGGACCCCTCTACCTGCGAGGGGCCCCCCTTCCCGCATGGGGGCCCCCCTCCTCCACCAGTACCCAGTAGCATTAATTGAATACCAAAAGGTTTTAATATACGACGGGCCTCTGCAAAGGCAAGACAACGACCACACTCGCTGCAACGACAGGGGCCCCCTCCTGGGGCCCCCCCAGGGGCCCCTTCGTGACCCTCAGACCCCATTACATCAGTACCATTAGCTGCAGCTGCAGCTGCTGCAGAACCACCATGCCCTGCAGGCTCACTGCGTGACCTACACAACCCTCCCGCACCACTACCAACTGCTCCTGCTGCAGCATCCCCTCCTCCTGCTGTTGCTGCTGTTGCTGCTGCTGCTGCTGCTGCTGCTGCTATTTTATGTGGTGGCTTAAGTTGATAAGCATGAGGATGTTTAAGGGCTAATCTAACTTGTGTTGGTAATTGTGATTGTCCTGAGTACTCAACATAAATAAAAGAAGAAAGAAATACACCAAACCCTACCTCTGTAAGGGAGGGACTACGAGGTATTAGACAGGATAGGGGGCCCCCATCATATATATTGTTATAGGCACCGGCATATATAGATGGGGGGGGGCCCTTTAATATAGAGGATTGAGGGGCCCCAAGAGAAAGGGGAGGAAGAGGAAGAGGAGGGGGTAATGTTGAGGAAGAAGGAGGAGAAAAACAAACACGATTTTGTATTGATAAAGATTCACTAGGCGCATAAGTGGGATGGGGGGCCCCTATGGAAGAGGAAGGGGCCCCTATGGATGGGGGGCCCCCCCATTCACAATAAGAAGCAGAAGAGTCATTGGGACCTCTAGATCTAAAGGGGGCCCCACTAGCGCAGCAAGAAGAGAGAGAAGGCAATAAAGAAGAAGATGCCTCCTGTGTACCCAACATAGAACAAGATGCTGAGTCGTCGTAAGACCCAAGCTTCTCCATTGTAGACCTGCTGCTCTTGCTGTTGTTGCTGCTGCTGCCTCTCTAATGCTGCAGCTGCTGCTGCCTCTCTTAATGCTGCTGCTGTTACGGCGTCTCCGGCTCCTCTCTCTTGCTGCTGAGCGCTGCTGTGTAGGGCCCAAGAGCCCCTGGGGGGCCCTGAGGGTATAGGGGAGCAGCAGATCAGACGAGAGAGAAGAGAAAAAGACTATAAAGAGAAGAAATAAAAGTTTCTAAAGGTGATGAAAGAAGATACAAGCAGGGGGGAGGAGGGTACACCCACTTTGAGGTGTACAGACAGGTGGTGGAGGGGCCAAGCAGTGTCTATATTCAATAATATAGGGGTTCCTTACATAAATATAACCCCTTTTAACCCCTTTACCTTACTTAATTACATTTAATTCCTTTAATTAGTTCTTACATGCAAAGAAGCAATGCACAGAAGAGGGGGGGCCCCCTTTGGGTCGGCGGTGGGGGGGCCCCTCAGGGCTGTAACACCCCCTGCGACTCTGTGGTGTATTGCTAGAAAAAAAAAGAAATGCAAGGCAGGAAAACAATTTATTACGGTTTATTTAAGATTCTAATGTTAAAAATGCAATAAAAACCATTTAAATCCCTCAAAACACAGGCGTCACCAGGCACAGCAGCAACAAGGAGGCAGCGGAACACGGCAATCACTTTTGGGGGGCCCCTCAAGGGGCCCTCCCTTATGTATGGGTATAGAAGGGAAGGGAGGTGGTATTGCGTTTTGTTTGTCAATCTTTCTCATATTTATTTATTATTTGTTCTTCCTTTGTATTTCATTTAATATTCTGTCCATTAAACCTGCTCAAGCGGGCGGCGGAGAGGCTCCTGCTGCTGCTGCAGCTGCTGCAGCTGCTACTGCTAGATCTTTTTCCCCTTTTTCCCTCCTTCCTTCTTCCCCTTCTTCTAATTTTAATTTTTGTCGTTTTGCTGGTTTACAGGACAACAATTTAGGGCATTATGCTCCCTTGGGGTACAGAGACTGAGGGGCCCCAGGGCCCCTCTTGTGGTGCCCTTTCTCTTCTTCCCCCTAAAATAGATAAAAATAAATTTAATATAATAAAAGAAGGAAAAAGAAATGATGGACGACTTCCTCAAGAAGTTAGACCTATGCGTACGACCAACAAACCCTAAACCCTAAACCCTAAACCCTAAACCCTAAACCCTAAACCCTAATTCATTTGGGGAGTTTTATATTTGTTGTATTTTCGGCTCTTAACCCTAAACCCTAAACCCTAAACTCTCCTTTAGGCTGCGGCTGTCATCGCTGTAAGATGAGGAAACACCATTGGCTATCTTTTATTTATTTATTTATTTATTTATTTATTTATTTATTCTGCAGATCTACAAACCCTTGCCCTTGGCTCTGCATCGGGCTCTGCTTTTGTTTCCCTTGGCAACACCAAAGTCTACTGCTCTGTGTACGCATAAACCCTAAACCCTAAACCCTAAACCCTAAACACTAGTCATTCCTCGTCGATTGCTGCGCCTCTGTCTCTAAGCCGTATAAACCCTAAACCCTAAACCCTAAACCCTTTTTTTTTTTGCTACAGATTTGGTCCTCGTCCTGCTGGTAGAAGTGATTTACAAGATCGAGGGTTTATTAAAGTTGACTTTCGCTCTTCTCCTTTCTTTCAAAAAAACAGCGCAGAAGTGGTAAACCCTCAACACAATTCTAGGGTTTAGGGTTTAGGGTTTAGGGTTTAGGGTTCGGTGTTTTTTTTTCTTTACATATTTTGTTTGTTTGCTCGTTTGTTGGTATCCTCGTTGCCGTCTATTTATGAGTTATATATTTAAAATATATATACAATTTATTATTTATATTTATTTATTTATACAAAAATAAATATATTTATTATTTATTTATATATAGGAGGAATGCCTAGGAGGAATATCTTTATTAATTCATCAAGCCCTTGATGGTTGTGTTTTATTAAATAAATATCCAAAGGCACTTCTTGATGTCTGTATACTCGTACTAGAAGATGATGGAGGTAACAACTGCAGCAGCAGCAGCAGCAGCAGCAGCAGCAGCAGCAAATAGAGCAGCAATGGTAATAGAATAGAAACAACAGCAGCAATAGCAGCAATAGCAGCAACAAGAGGGCAAATAAATACTATAAGAATAGATACACAATAATGCATGCATGCAGAACACGAGCTGTACGCACACCCCATAAACTGCAGCAGCAACTGTTTCCTAATTGCTGTGCTGTTTGCTGCTGCTGCTGCTGCTGTTGCTGCTGTTTAGGCGTCTTATCTGCAGCATTAACATGCGCTGGATTGGCATTAGCAGATGCAGGTGTTGAATGTTTAGATGTTATAGCAGGCGCATCAGCTGTACGTACACCATAACATTATTTATTTTATTTACTTTTTTATTTATTATTGTTATATTGTTTAGGCAAAACAAATAATAATAATAATAATAATAAATAATAATAATAATAAATAATAATAAATAATAATAAATAAATAAATAATAATATATATATGTGTATATGATTGTGTGTAGTATGCATTTACATATAAAGATGATGGCGGTACATCTCAACAAATCGTCTGTCTTGACTTAGATGCAACAGTAAGACCACAACTCTCTGCTGCTGCTGCTGCTCCTGCTGCTGCTGCTGCTGCTGCTGCATCTGTTCCTGCTGCTTCCGTTCCTGCTGCTGCTGCTTTTAATCTATTACCGTTGCTGCTGCTGCTGCTGCTGTTGTTGCTGTGTTGTTGTATATAGGAGTATGAGGTGTACAGACACCTACCAGACTTTACAGTAATTCATATAGGGTTTTGTCCTGCCCTCTCTTCTATTTGCTGCCTACAATGTAGGGGGCCCCTCATTGGGGGCCCCATAGGAGAACAGGTACGTCTCCAATTTATTTTAGTACCCTTTCTTCTCCTTATGCAAATACATAAATAATTGAATAAATAATAAATAGCATAATATAATATAATTTATTCATTTATTTATATATATATTTATATATTTATTTATTTGTATATTTGTGGTGTCTGTACACCGCAGATGTTAAGTTTATGCGAAGGTGTTTGTGTAGAAATTGGCGAAGAAGTTCGTCGTTGTCTAAAGAAATCATTTTGTATAAAAGATAATCAATTAAATAATCAGCAACAAGATAATAATTATAATTCTTCTTCCTCTTCTTCTTTTTCTTCTTTTTCTTCTTCCTCTGCTGTTAAACGATCTAATTCATAAATAACTCTCTTATTTAAATCTTTTTATTTCTTTTGTCTTATTATTCTTGTTATTTTAGTTATTTATTTATTATTTATTTATTTATTATTTATTTGTTATCTATTATTAGTACTTATAATAGGTAATTTACAGTATTTGCTTTTAGACTAGACAAACAACAACAACAGTAGCAACAGCAGCAGCAGCAACAGCAGCAGCACAAACAGCAGCAGCAGCAACAACAGCAGCAGCAGCAGCAACAGCAGCAGCAAAAGCGGCAGTAGCAGCAGCAGGGAAGTTGATTTTAGGTATATTTAAATTAAGTCATTTTTCTCTTGCTGCTGCATTTTCTTGCTTGTTGCTGCTGCTGATAGTGAGCGCTCACTAAGCTATTTTAATTATATATTTATTATATATATTATATACGTTATACAATATATATTATACAGTATATAATATAGAGTATATAATATATGTATTATATAGTGTATATATATGGGGGAAAGCTGCAATAATATCTATAGCTGTTTATCTGCTACTAAATGTGTTATAACATATTTATTAGACAAACTCTCTTACGCCGTCGTCTTTTATTCTCCTAAGCAATAAAAATACATAAATATATAGTATATACTATATATTATAATATATATTATATATTATAATATATATTATAGATATATTATATAATTTGCTGTAGACAGACTCGATACGCTAATGTGTATAACTAATATTACCATTGGCGGCACCACTCGTTGTTGCAACTTTCTTCCCTCTTTTCCTTTATATTTTTATTATTCTTCTTCTCCTTTTAATGATTTTTATTTATTTTACTTTGTTTTATTTTGCTGATTGAATATTCATGTATTCGTCTGTGTGACGAAGTACAAGTCATCAATCTTGCGCATTGTTGAATAGGAGGAAGCAAGAGGGGGCGTTGGCGGTGTAATCAGAAGATCGGGAGATAAAATAAAAAGAATAAATAGAATAAAAGAAGAAATAAATGTGAATGGATTGAATATAAAAAAGAAGAAGAAAACGAACAAAAATTAATGATAAGAAACCTTACTTGTGACGAAGTCACCCGAGCATATCAAGAAGATTCAAATACTGGGGTGTATAGGCACCTACTAGTGAAAATATAACTTGCAGAACGCACGAAAAAAATGTCTACAAAAGAGCGCTTTTTGCTTATTTTTCATTTCATATTCAATTATTCATTGATTATCTTAAAAGAACCATTCAAAATGGGTCATTAAAGCGGAGACACACCATTGTGTTCAAGAAGGTGGAAGTTGAAGGAAATAGGCAGACCTACCACCCGATCTTCTTTTTTCATCTCTTTTGTGTTTAATTTCATTTAAATATTCGTTTTATTAATTCCTTTTTCTGTTTTTTTTATCGTTTTCCGTCCGCTTCCGCCTCCGTGAACGGTGTTGTCCATTGCATGCATGCAAGGCAATACATGTATGGCGATGGTTCCTCCCGTCTTAGTTCCATTTGCCTATAAATCATATAGTTAAATGTATTTTCGTTTTTGTTTCTTTATTAAAAGGTCCTAAAATAGGGACAATTACTTTTGTATTCCCCCTTCTTCCTCCTCCTTAGCTCTCCCTCTCCCTCTCCCTCCCTCTCTGCCTCTCTCCTTCTGTTCTCCCCCCGATCGTTGTTATTTTGACTGGAGTTGCAATGACATTCCAGCGTATAGAAGCAAATTAGCAGCAGCAGCAACAACAACAACAGCAGCAACAGCTGCAGCAGCAGTTAGTATCTTCCTCTGCTGCTCTTATATATATATATATAATAACAACAATGATGTGATTATTTGTAGAGAAGTTGCTGCTTTATTACTATTAAAGTAGTAAATAATGTAATATATACTTTTCTGCAGCAGTAACAGCAGCAGCAACAACAACTAGTGCATGCATAATTGCATGCATGCATGCATTCATGCATGCATGTAGCCGTTTTTCTTTCTTTTTTCCTTTCCTTTTAATTGTTATTTTCCCTCCTTTTTTATTTCCCTCTTTCTCTCAGTATGGAAGGTATAATATCGTCAGCAACAGGAAGGAGGAATATTAGCCGCCACAACAGCAACAGCAGCAGCAGCAGCAGCGGCGGCAGCAGCAGCAGCAACAGCAGCAGGAGCAGGAGCAGCAGGAGCAGAGGTTATTTTCCTCCTCCTCCTCCTTCTTCTTGGTGGCGTTCTTCTTATGAAGAAACATCATCAGAGGTTTATTTGCCATGTCCTAATGATGTAGATAATACTGGGGTGTACGTACACCCCAATTGTGATAGAGATGCAGCAGGAAATTGCTGCTGCTCTTCTTCATCTGCTGCACCAGCAGCAGCAGCAGCAGCAGATAGAAGTAGCATGAGAGCATTAGATAGTAGACGTATTCCTGCTGCTGCTGCTGCTGCTTCTTTGCCTCTTCTTCCTTCTGCTGCTCCTCCTATTGCTGCTGCTGCTGCAGCTGATTCATCATCATCACCATCAATAACTAATACTCCTATTTCTACTCCTACTGCAGCAGCAGCAGCAGCAGCAGCAACAGCAGCAACAGCAGCAGCAGCAGCAGCACCAACAGCAGCAACAGCAACAACAGCAGGAATATCATCAATAGGATCATCAGCATCATCAGCAACAGCAATAACATCAATACCTCTACCTATAGGAGAAGAAGGACGAGGAGGCGGAGGAGGAGGAGGAAGAAAAGGTATATCTGTTTATATATTACCTTTATTATTATTAGTATTATTATGTTTATTATATGTTGCTGCTTCTCCTTTATTACTAGTAGGAGGTAAACAGCAGCAGCAGCAGCAGCAGCAGCAGCAAGATTATGACTATGGTATAGTTATAGACTGTGGTTCTCATGGATCACGAGTAAACATATTTAGATGGGAAAAAAGAAGAATAAATAATAATAAAAAGAATAATAATAATAATAGTTATATAAATTATATAAATAATAATCCAATATATAACAACAACAATAATAATAATAATAATAATATAATACCTGTATCCTTACCTACATTAATGTATGTATATTTATTTTCTCCTGGTATACAAGAGTTATTTATAAAAGATAAAGAAAAAGGAAGGAAACAAATAAAAGAAATGATAAAAATGAGTATAAAAGGATTAAATAATTTAGGTGTATATACACCGCAATTTAGTACAATACCTATATACCTAAAAGCAACAGCAGGTATGCGTATATTAACGCAAGATAAAAGAGATATAATTATGCAAGAAATAAGAGAGATATTAATAAATAAAATAAATAATCCTTTTTTTTTTATTCATGAATTTGCTCGTGTAATATCGGGAGAAGAAGAAGGAATATTTGGTTGGGTAGCAGTAAATGCAGAAAGAAATACATTTTCTTCTTCCTCTTCTTTTTCCTCTTCCTCTCCTTCTTCTGTTGGTCTCTCCTCATCCTCTTTATCTTTTTCTTCGTCTTCCTCATCGTTATCCTCTTCCTCTTCCTCCTCCCCTGCTACATCCTTATCAGTAGATACATTAGGGGCAATAGATTTAGGGGGTAGTAGTACACAAATAACATTTTCTCCTTATTATCCATCAATATTAGAGGGATTTAATTCTTTATTATTAGGTAATAAAAATATTCGTCTTTATTCGCATTCTTTTCTTTCTTATGGATGGGAGGATTCTCTTCTTAGAACTCTTATTAAATTAACTGCACATACTCTTATACGTTATTATAAGGTATTCTTATTCTTATTATTATTATTCATGCTGCTCTTGTTGCTGCTGTTGCTGTTGCTGCTGCTGCTGTTGCTGTTGTTGTTGTTGGGGTGATGGAGACGATTATAATGATGGGCTTGGTGTTGGTGGTGTTGTTGTTCTTGTTCATGATGCTGATGCTGTTGCTGCTGCATATGCTGCTGCTGCTGCTGCTGCTGCATCTGCTGCTGTTGCTGTTGTTGCATTTGCTGCATCTGCTACTGCTGCTGCTGTTTTGCTGTTGTTGGTGTTGTTTGTGTATAGAATGGTGGTGATGGAGGAGGAGGAGGAGGAATAATAAATGAGGGTTTACGTCGTCCTGCATCGGATTTTTTGCGTGTATTAAAAGGAGGAGGAGGAGGAGGGTTTAGGGTTTGGGGTTTAGGGTTTAGGGGTTTAAGGAATACAAATTTATTATTGCATGCAGATAACCCTTGTCTACCTAAAGGAGAAGAAATGTTTTTTTATTTACCCCCTATTAATGATGAAGGTCTTCGGGTGTATGTTGATCTACCCCCTAAGACATTAAATATTGTATTATTAACTATGGGCGTACCTGCAGCAACAGCAGCAAGTCTTGCTGCTGCTGCTGCTGCACAAGGATTAGAGGCGAGACATCAGCTACAAGATAATAAAGAAGAAGAGGAGGAGGAGGAAGAAGAAGAAGAAGAAGAAAAAGAAGAAGAAGAAAAAGAAAAAAAACAAAAAGGTACAATTAATAGTAATAAAGGTAGTAACATACAACAAAATAATAATAAAGAACAGGAAGGGAGGCCCCAGCATGCAGGCACGAGCAGCAGCAGCAACAGCAGCAGCAGTGTATACACTGCAACAGGAGGAGGAAGCAATGATAAAGAAGAAAACAAAGATAAAGAAATGCATGCAGATAACACTAATAATAATAATAATAATAAAAATAATAATAAAACAAATAGACAAAAGAAGAAAAAGAAAACAAAAAAAAGAGTTAAAATTATTTTTAAAGGAACGGGAGATTTTAATCAATGTCTAAACCTCGCTTCCGAGTAGGGTTTAGGGTTTAGGGTTTAGGGTTTAGGGTTTAGGGGTTCTATGAGGAATGTGACTTTTTTTTTTTTCAGTTTCTCTTTCTTTCATGGATTGGTGGGATTGTTGTTCTTATCTATTTAGGGTTTAGGGTTTAGGGTTTAGGGTTTAGGGTTTCCTCGATAGTTTTTTCTTCTTTTTCCCCTTTTTTAGGCTTTTTTATAATCCTCCTTGCTTTATAAATCGTTGCTCCTTTAATGGCGTATATCAGCCCAGGCTCATGAACAGCAAGTAAGTTACACTTACAAGGGTTTAGGGTTTAGGGTTTAGGGTTTGTGGTCTATGTTCTAGGGTTTGGTGTCAAGGGTTTGGTGTCTAGGGTTTAGGGTTTAGGGTTTAGGGTTTGGGGCTTGTGTGTTATAGGTTTTTAGCGTTTGGTCAATTCTCTAAGGTTCGTGTTGCATTAAATCTTCCTTCTTCTCCTTCTTTATTACAATGGAGGGAAAAAACAAAAGAAATTTGTTCCCTAAACCCTGAGGGTTTAGAGGCATATAGACAGCAACATGGCATTACTTCTTATTCACCTGTCCGTAAACACTAAACCCTAAACCCTAGATGATTGTAATAGCCCTGTGAATAGGCTGCTGCAGAAATCCCTGTTTTTCGTTCCCTTTTTGAGGTCTTAGGGTTTTGGCTCCTCCTGTGTTGGAGGCTGCTTATTAGGGTTTAGGGTTTAGGGTTTAGGGTTTAGGTTTTGTGTGTGCAGAAAGGTATGAAGAAATTATGCTGGAAGGCTACTTGGAGTTTTGCTCTTTTGTCTCGAGGGTTTGGCTTCCCCTTAGATTCTCATCAAATAACATTTGCTGATCCTCCTCCTCCGTCTGCTGCTGCTGCTGCTCATGCTGCTGCTGCTGCTGCTGCTGCTCCTGATGCTGCTGGTACTCAAGTCCCTTATCATCAGCTGCCTGCAGAGGCCGGCTGGCCTTTAGGCTCGATGATTGTTGACGTCAATCGATACCCATGGGGAGTGCCAGAGCGGTGCGTAATAAGGGTTTAGGGTTTAGGGTTTAGGGTGTAGAGGAGTTATATGGGCTGAGGTTTTAGGGTTTAGGGGGGTCGATGCAGGCTTTGCGGGCTGAAGGGTTTAGGATGGCCAATGGGGGCTGAGGGTTTAGTGTTGAGGAAGACGTTAGAAGACTGATTCTAGGGTTTTGGGGGATTCTCTACTCTAGGGTTTAGGGTTTAGGGTTTAGGGTTTAGGGTTTGCTGTGCGTACAGGGAGGATGGCTATTCTTTGTTACTGGCGATCTTAGCGTTTGGGTCTACGGCCTTAGCTGCCTTTCTTTGTTATGTTCAATATAAAGGGAAAGATCAATTAAGACACGACGTATCTCATTTTTCTTCCTCCTTCCTTTAGGGTTTAGGGTTTAGGGTTTAGGGTTTAGGGTTTTGGGCAGCGTGGCTCGAAGAACGAGTCTTCTAACATTTACCTTCTGTGAATTGTTTTAACTGTACAGAGTTGTTTTAATTTATTTTATTATTATTTTATATTATATATAATTACTTTTTATTTAATTATTATTTATATTTTGTTTAATTACTTTTTATTTATTTCTTTATATAAATAAAAAAGCAACATAGATGTTCCCTACATAGGGTACTGGCAACAAAGCCGAAGGGAGCGACAAGGTGTCTATACACCTCTTTAATTCGTTAAATAATTAAAATAAATTAAAATTATTAAATTAAAAATATAAAATTAGTTAAATAATAATTATAATTAGCTATTGTACGCAGCCTTTGCCCTACCATGGGGGGCCCCCTCCACGGTATTCAACTTAGGGGGTCCACCTCTTATTGCTGTGTTGCTGCAGCTGCTGGAGCACATACACCTCAATAAATGTTTTCTTTCATATAATTTAATTAAATTATATTGTTTATTTAATTTTTATTGGCGTCTCGTGTTAGCCACTCCCTCCCTCCCTGTACCGCGTCTCCCTATACACGCCTACCTTCTGTACCCTTTTTTCTGGAGGCCCTTACACCCTTGGGGGCCCCATGGGCCCCTCTATGAGGCCCCCTGAATTCTTACGGGGGGCCCTTTGTAGGGCCTCCTCCCTTATGCGACGTGTAAGAGGGTACTACCACCATAGTGGCCCCTCCGCTCCCTTCCCCTTCTTTAAGGGCCCCCTCCCTCTAGGGGGACACAACAAGTTTGCTGCTGCTGCTGCTGCTGCTGCTTCTTCCTTTAAGAAAAGGTTCGATGCAGCAAATGAACAACTAGGGGAGTGGGCCCTTAGGGAGGCACCCCCTGTCTTCCGTTTTAGGGGCCTCAGGTATGCTAGGTACCCTGGGGCCCCCCCGCACCTAAAGGGGGGCCCCCAAGGGTACAGTCCCTTACAGCAGCAAAAGAAAGCAAATATTCTTTCTATGGTACTTATCCTTGCTGCTGCGGCAATAGTTATTTTTACTCCTTTATATCTACATATGCGTTATTCGCTAAACCCTAATAAATATAAAACAGCTGCAACACAACACTACTAGCAGCAGCAGCAACAGCAGCAGCAACAGCAGCAACAAGTTCAAGGAGATCGGGCACTGCCAGCATTGCGTTGTTGCAGCAGAAAACCCTAAACCCTAATGACCAGCAAACTTTCTTTAATGCAGCGACGGGGCCCCTCTCTTCTACTATGGCCTATGGGGGCCCCCTCAAAGGGGCCCCCAAGGCCTTTCAAACACAAACCTTAATTGCGGGGCCCCCCAGAGGGGCCCCGCAGGGGTCCCCTTTAGGGTCCTGGTTACCCAGAGGGGGCCCCCAGTCCCCTTTGTCTGTGGGGACACCCCAACGACTGGGGGCCCCACATGGCAGTTCAAGTTTTGCTGAGTTTTGTTTTTGCGGCTTCAATAGTGGAGAAAGCGTAAACCCTAAACCCTAAGACGTAAACCCTAAACCCTCAACTGATGTAGTGTGTTAGAGGTAGACTTGTAGGTTGAGAGGTTAACACTGTTGGACTATTAAACCCTAAAGGTTGGATATACACTGCAATATGCATGCATACGAATGGCAGCAACACAGCAGCAGCAAAAGCAGCAGCAGCAGCAGCTGTTGCTGCCACAGATGCAACGGCAGCAAAAGCAGCTTCTGCAACGCGAAGGGATGCAGCACCGGGTGTCTGCGTTTAGAGAGAGGGCAATCTCACCTCTGTATACACTGAGATACAGAGAAGATAGAATTTATTAGGGTTTAGGGTTTAGTGTTTAGGGTTTAGAGACGAGGTGCAGTGGAGTGTTCGATGCTAACCCGAAACCCTTAACCCTAGGGACTTCATTAGGGTGTAGTTGCATTGCCCTCCCCCTCAGTAAGAAAACTTTCTAGTTAGTCAGAATTACCGTATTTTATACAAATTAGGGTTTAGGGTTTAGGGTTTAGTGTTCAGAGTACCCAGTAGAGGGGCCCCTCATCGCCGGAGCGGTTTGTTGCCTGGGGGGCCCCCCACGCCGTACCTTCTTTAGGGCTAAACGTCCCATTTCTTTTTTTTTTATTTTATTCCCTTAATATAATTTAAAATCTCCTTTCTTGAAGAAGGAAGGGCCCCCCTCTGTAGGAAGCAGCAGCACTGCTGCCAACTCCGCCGCTCCTGCCGCTGCTGCTGCTGCTGCGTGAGCAGCCCACTGTAACAACAGCAACAGCAGCAATAACAGCACCAGCTGCTGCAGAAACACAAATACAGAGGAAAACGTCGTAGATCCTATCTAATACCCTGCACGGGGACCCCCATCCTACTGCTTCTTCCTTAAAGGGCCCCCTAAGCCTCACGAGGGGCCCCCGGGGGCCCCCCATGTCATCGACATGCTTGCTTGGACATAAGGACTCTCCCAATACAGCAGCAGAAGTCGTAACATCAGCAGCAGCAAAAACGGGATCAGCCGCAGAAGCAGAAGCAGAAGCCACAGAACTGCAACAGGGGCAGCAAAAGGAGCACCACCAGTGGCAGGAAGGACTCTGGTTTGTGGGGCCCCCGTGCCTCATGCCATGGAGGCCCTAGGGGCAGCTGCAGCGTCACCACAACAAACAGCAGCAGCAGGTACAGGTTCGGGTGCCCCAGAGCTGTGCCCTCCGCCCGTTGCTCAGGGGCCCCTCGGTTCTCTTGGAGGGGCCCCTCTGGTGGGGTCCTCTCTAGTGGGGGCCCCCTTAGTGGGGACCCCCCTAGTGGGGGGCCCTTTAGGGGGGGGCCCCCCTCACGTAGATCCACTTAAGGGGCCCTTTAACTCAACGCTGGTAGAGTTTTGCGGCTTAGACGTAAACAAAGAAAACCCCTTGGTGGCCCCCTCGACGAGGGCCCCTTCATTAAGGGCCCCCTCGACAGAGGCCCCCTCAATAGAAGACCCCGCGACAAGGGCCCCTTCAATAGGTGCCCCCTCGGCAGGGGCCACCTCGATAGGGGCCCATCCAACAGGGCCCCCCCTGAGAGGGGCCCTCCCGACAGCAGCCCTCCCGACAACGGCCGTACCGACAGGGCCCCTCCCGACAGGGGCCCTGTCGACAGCGGCCCTTCCGACAGGGGCCCTCACGACACGGGCCCCCTTGACAGGGGCCCCCTTATTAGGGGCCCCCTTGACAGGTGCCGCATTGGCAGGTGCCACCTCGGCAGGTGGCCCCTTGGCGGAGGCCCCAACTGTGACGGAGCGGGGGGCTCCCCCTTCTGTGGTTGCTTCTTTACTGGATCGTTTTTATGGAAGCCTCTTAGCAGAGGAGGAGTTGCTGCTGCAGCAGGAGCAACAGCAACTGCAGCAGGCAGCGACAGGAGAGGTGCAGCAGCAACAAACACCCTCACAGGACCAGGACCCGCAACAACAGCAGGAGAAACAGCAGCAGGAGCAGGAGCAGCAACCCCAGCAACAGCAGCAGCAGCTGCAACGACAGCAGCAACGACGGCAGCAGCAGCGGCCAATGGGGCGCCCTCATTGGCGTTCTGTCTATACACTGCAATGCAAGCAGCAGTTGTTGTTGCAGCTACAGCAGCTACGGGAAGTAAACAAGCACCAGCAGCAGCAGCAGCAGGTGGGGGCCCCCTTCGATGGCGTCGAGCTCTTTATGGTGCAGCACCACAACCTGCAGGGGGCCCCCTCCCGCCGTCTTGCTGCTGCTCGTAAGGCCCTTATGGAAGAGTATGGGGCCCCCCAGGACCCTGCTGCTGCTGTCCTGCTGCAGCGACAGCGGCGAGCAGCAACTGCAGCAGCTGCAGCAACAGCAGCAGGGAGGCAGCAACGAAAGAGCAACGGACGACATAAAAGAAAGGGGCCCCCAGCGTCCCTTAAGAGGGGCCCCGTGGTGCCTCTTGCTGCTGTCAAAAGAGAACCTGCAGCAGCAGAAGCAGCAGCAGGAGCAGCAGCAAAAGTTTCTGCTGCTGCTGCTGCTGCTGCTGCGGCTTCTGCTGAAGGGCCTCCTTTGACCCGCCGCGCCAGCCGAGCGGCGCGCAGTGCGGGACAGCAGCAAGCAGCAGCTGCAACAACAGCAGCAACAGCAGCACCTGCTGCTGCAGCGGAGGACTGGGGATCGACGTCATCAGCGGTATCACCGGAATCAGCAGAAGCAGCAGCAGCAGCAAGAGCAGCAGCAATATCTTCTTTACGTAAAGCACTTGGTTGCCCCCCTGGTGTCTCTCTGTCTCCTTTGCCCCACACATTCTTTTGCTGCACCATCTGCAGCAAATTCTTCAGCAGCAGCAATTTGCTGCTGCAGCATGTGGGGCCCCACACCCTTCTCTCACGGCAAAGGGTCCCCTGGGGCCCCCATCGCCTCCTACGCAAACAGGTTACAACAGAGGGGGCCCCAGGGGGCCCCCGTAGGCTCCACGGGTACAACGGGTACCCATGGGGACCCCAAAGGGGCTCCCTGTCTGTGGATATGGGGGGCCCTGCAGCAGCAAAGACGAAGAGGAGGAAAGAGGGAGAGAAGCAGCAGCAAAGCGTAAGGGTTTAACTATTGTCTCTTCTTTTTTGTGCCTTCTTTCTTGACTGTCTCCTTTTTATTGTATTTGTTTATTGTCTCTTTATTAATTAATATTATTGTTTATTAATTATATTTATTTGTATTATCTGTTAATTATCATTTCTTTGCTGCTGTTGCTGATGCTGCTGCTGCTGCTGCTGCTGCTGTCTCCTTTGTGTTTCCTCAGTTAAGCTATAGAGGCCATTGGTCTCATCAATCTTCTTCTTTCTTCTTCCTTCGTTCTTTATCTCTTTGGTTCGTCTCTTTATACCCTTTTGTACCCTTTTGTACCCCTTTAGACCCTTTTAAACCCTTTAAAGGGGGCCCCCTTCTGTGGGGCCCCTTTGTAGTTTGTCGGTTTTAAAGCAGCACCTACAGATAATAAAGAGGGGCCCCTCTTAGGGCAAAAGGGGCCCCTTTAAAAGGTATTCAAGGGCCCCCACATGTGATGCTGCTGCTGCTGCTGCTGTGTACAGCCGAGCTAGGGAAATGTTGAGGCGGTTCGGTCTTTATTGCAGCAGAAGGCTCCTTAAAGACAGGTAACCTAAACCCTAAACCCTAAACCCTGAGCCCTAGGCAGCAAACAAGGGAAAGGAAGCATATAAGACATAAGTGCCTCTTTTTTATTTATACCTTTTTCTTCATTCTTTTCTTATGCAGGACGGGGCCCCTATCAGAGGCCCTTACCAATGCGCATGCAACAGCAACGATGGGGCCCCTAGAGGGGCTAGGGGAGACCCCCTTTATAAACGGCACCTTCAGGTACCCTATCCTCCCTACTAACACAGGGGCTCCCCCCTTTCTCTTTTCTGAGGCCCACAAGAGGAGCATTATAGGGGGGCCCATGTATGAGTGTATGATTAAGAGATAACATAACACGTAGGGGGGCCCTAAACCCTTGGGGGGCCCCTAAACACTTAATCATTCTACATTCTCTCCTTGGGCAAATTGTGTGCCATTGGTCCCTTTTTTCCCCAACTGCTGCTGCTACTGCTTGCTGCTGCTGCGCAGGCTAGGAGAGGAGGCGTATAGCCCCATGCAACCACTAGCTGATGAGTTGAGGGTTTATATACAGCAGGTAAACCCCTGGGCCCGACACCTGCCTGCTGCTGCAGCCTGCTGTTGGTGCTGCAGCTGCTACCTTTTTGTCTCCCCTAAAGCTACAGCAGCAGCAGCAGCAGCAGCAGTTGTTTATTTTATGTTGTGTGTTGCATCTTGTAAAGGTATTGGAGAAGATATTCGCTGAGTTTTGTATTTCTTATTTACCCGATTGGAGCAACATAAGAATCGTCAAGGTACGAGGGTTTAGGGTTTAGGGTTTAGGGTTGCATGCGGGTTTGGGGGTTTGTGTTGAGTAGCTGGGGACCTCCTGGGCAACTGTAGGGTCTGGGGGTTTAGTGTTTAGGTTGCTGCTGCTGCCTGCTGCTGCTGCCTGCTGCTGCTTCATGCACCTAACAGCACATTGGTTTGTTGCTGCTGCAGGGAGACACGAAGACACCCCTTGACAAGGAGGAGGCGCTGCAGCAGCTCCTCTCTAACGTTGAAGGCACTGTGAGTGTTTAGGGTGTAGGGTTTAGGGTTTAAGGAATTGCTCACCAAAGCCAACAGACCAACTCTGGTGCAAACGGATACAAATAAACGTAGGCAATGACATGCACAGCTGCTGCTGCTGCTGCTGTTGCTGTTACTGTTGCTGCTGCTGCAGCAAGTGACAATTATAACAACATTGGTCTGTTTAAGTGTGGGACAAGGTGGTGGGAGTCTCTGCTTCTCCTTGCCAAGGGTACAGGGGGGCCCCCAAGCTAGGGGGGCCCATTGGGGGGCGCTACGACTTATACCAGGTACGTGCATATCGTATAGTCTCCTTTTTGCTTCTTTATTGCCTTTTATAGCCTACGTTGCCTCTTTTATTCTCTTTGTCTCTCTTTTGCTGTTTAGTGTTTAGGGTATGCGGCATATAGGGTTTAAGGTTTGTGGTGCTTAGGGTTTAGGGTTTAGGGTTTAGGGTTTAGGGTTTAGGGTTTGTTGGTTGTACAGGGTCTTTTGCTATAATGTTGGATCCTTCTTCTTCCGTTGGTTTTCTTTTTGGTGATTCTTCTTCCTTTTTACAACTAAGGCAAGAATAAATGTACAAAAACAAACTAATAATTAAATAATAAAATACAAAGAATATTATTATTATTATATTTATTATTAGTAGTAATAGTATTTTATTATTGGCGTATTTTATGTTTTTCTGGCCACATCTCGGAATCCATTGCATCTAGGGTTTAGGGTTTAGGGTTTATTAGGGTTTAGGCTTGTTTGGTGTTTTGCTACAGATGGGCATTGTCACCTCGGGGGGCCTCTGTGGGTCCCCCTTCGTCTGCTGCTGCTGCTGCTGCAGCGCAAGATAAGAAAGGGTTTTTAAATGAGTGTTTGCTCCCTCCACAGCGGTAGGCAACCCACTAAACCCTAAACCCTAAACCCTAGACACTTTCGTGATATCCTGTAAGGTCAAGGAAGACAAACATATCGCGTTCCTATTTCTTCTGACGTTGCTGCTGCTGCTGTTGTTGCTGCTGCTGCTTTTGCTGCAGTTTGGTATCTCCGGCATCAACATGGGTGTTTTCTCCCCAGGGCGCTGCAGCACCGGTAGCAGCAGCTGAGGTCTATGTACAACGCAGCAGCAGCAGCAGCAGCAGGTGCAGCAAGAAAGTGGAGGTGTCTCTGCGTTCCTTTGGTCTGCCTGTTGAGCTACTGCAGCAGACTACCTCGGGGGCCCCCCACAAGGGTGGGACCACCAAGCAGCTGTCTAGAAGGGGCCCTCCCCCTTGGGGGCCCCCTGGTCGTTTTAATATAAGAGGGGGTTGGAGGAGGGGGCCCCTAAAAGGGCCCAATTTGTCGCTCCATAGGTTCTTATGGCAGGACTGGGGGTCCCTCCTGGGGGGTCCCCAGAAGGCTCCTCAAGCCGAAGGAGTCGCAGAGGGGGCCCCCCAAGGTGGCCCCCAGGGGGCCCCTCAAGCACAAAAAGGGGTTGGAGGGGGGCCCCAAGTACCCAGTTGTAAAGACACCGCAGAGGCATTAAAGATGAATTGGAGGAAAAGATTAGAGAAGATGTCTTTTTCTTTTGTAGATAAAGTGGGGCTTTTTTGCATGCATTTTATTTTTTGTCTACTTTTTTATTTTATTTATTTTTCTCTTTTTCCTTTTTGCTTGTTCTGTTTACTTTTTATTTCCTTGTGTACTTCTTCTCTTTTCTCCTATGTGCTGTGCTGCTTAGTGGTGGACATTTGCTTCCTTCTTATTTGATTTCTTCTAATTGTCTTTATATCCGCAACTGCTGTTGCTGTTGTTGTTGTTGCTGCTGTTCTTGCTGCTTCTCTTGCTGCCGTTGCTGCTGCTGCATCCGTTGGAGTTGCTGTTTCTGTCATTTACTCTTTTTCTGCAGGTCCGTCCTTCGGAAGCAACAGAGGCAGAAGCTGCAGCAGCAGCAACAGCAGCAGCAGCAGCAGCAGATGGGCCTTTCTCCACAGCATTACAAGCAGCAGCAGCAGAAGAAGCAGCAGCAATGAAGGCGAGAAGGAGGACTCCTTTTGCTGGTGTATGGGGGGATATTTGTGTGCAGCGGCATTTGCTGCTGCTGCAGGAGCAGATGCAGCATCACCTCAAGATAGCTCAAGACAGATTCAAGGCGATCAGTGCAGCAGCAGCAGCAACAGCAGCAGCGGCAGCAGCAGCAGGTACAACAGGTGTAGCAGGTGCAGCCGGGGGTCCCCAAGGAAAGTACATGGGGGGCCCCCATTCCGCTGCAGGGGAAGCGGAGGGGCCCCTCTCTCCTCTGGATTCAAGCAGCAGCAGCCCCACGGCAGATCCACACCGCTTGCAGCAGCAGCAGCAACTGAAGCAGGAAGCGGATGATGAGACGGGGTTAAGCGGAGGATCTGCGGAGAGGCAGGAGGGGGCCCCTTCCTCTCAATATAAGCGGCAGTGTGTGAGGGCCCCGTTACTTGGGGGACCCCCTTCTCCCCATGGGGCCCCCCCTTCGGCATTATCCCCTAGCGGTTGTTCGCGTCGTGTGTTGCGGCGGGCCCCGCGAGTGGGTACTATGGGGCCCCTCTTTGAAGTAGATAATTTATTATCATTAACCCCTTTAGGGTTAACATCTGCAGGGGCCTCTGCTGTGTCTCTCTCTGTGGCTAGCAGCAAACTTAATTTAAATGCTTATGGGCACAGGGCCCTCCTCGTAGGGGCCTTTTGTCTTGCTTTTGCTGGCTTCTATGGTACTGGGGGGCCCCCTCCACCCACTACCCCTAATAATAACAAATCGGGAAGGGGGGGTAGCGGAGGGGGAGGGCCCGCTTCACGTACCCTCCTGCCACCTGCTCTAGACCACCAGCGCGGGCCTCTCCTCGGCCTGCATGCAGAGGGTCCCCCCTTCTTGGGGCCCCTTAGTGATGCAACTGCAGCAGATATTAAGATCGGGAGGGCAGTTCTGAAGGTGCTGCAGCAGAGGGGGGAAAGACAAGCGGGACATCCAACAAACAGTAGCAGCAACAGCAGGAGCAACAGCAGCAGCGGGGAAGGCTTTGCAAGCTGCTGCATGCACACCTTCGAGAAACCAGCAGCAAATAGTCTTCCTGAGCTCGATGCTGTGGCCTTGTGTCGTGTCTGTCCCTTCTCAGTACCCGTTGCTGTACCCTCGGAGGGAGGGGGGCCCCCAAAGCAGCAGCAACCAAAAAAGGCCCCCCGCAAACGGGCTGGTGCCCCTCAGGAGAGGGCCCACCCCTACAAAGGGACCTCCACAGAGAGACGAAAAGACACGGGAGCCACCCCTACTGCTCTACACATCACGCGTGGAGGCAGACGTTCCGTACCGTCTCCTCTATTCGATCTCTAACTATGAGGGGCCCCGTAGGGGTCCCCTTAGGGGGCCCCTAGGGGCTCGTATTATAGGGAACCCTAGGGACGCCTATTACAGGGGCCAGTAGGGGCTCTTAATACAAGGGCCCCTAAGGGGGCTCCTATTAGAAGAGGACCCGAGGAGGCCCCTACGGGGCCCGTAGGATCTCTTATTGCAGGGGCCCCACAAGGGCCCCCCTACAGCGAATTTCTTTTAGTTGTTTTTAATATGCAACGAATGGCATGTCTTTTTAAGGAGTTGTTTGCGTCTACAATAACAGAAAAGGGGTCTTTCCCCCCCGCTGAAGCAGCAGCATTAGGGGCCCCCGAGGGGGGCCCCTTATGCTACATCAAATAGGAATAGCTATGGTACATACGCGTACGCCAGCCTTAGGGAAGGCCCCTTTGCCAGGGGCCCCCAAGCAACAGTTACCTCTTATGCACTATGTAATAATAGGTAGAAGTAGACCTACTAAAGAGTAAAGGGGCCCCCTGCCCCCAGGGCCCCCATGTCGGTCTTAGCCTGCTAAGGGCCCCATTCTTTCCCATTAGCAGCAAGGGGACCCTTGTTGGAGGCCCCCTGCTTAGAGGGCCAATGTTTGGTGGCTCCCTGTACCCCTCGAAGGGGCCCCCTGGGCCCTTCAGGGTTTGGTTAGAATCTCTGGCCCATTTGGGCCGATGAGAATTGTCTCTTCAAACTGCGCAGAGCTGTGAATAAACAGCAGCAGCAGCAGCAGCAGCAACAGCACAAGCAAGTTGATAGATGAAGAAGTAGCAGCAACAACAAAAGCAGCAGCAGCAATACAGCAGAAGCATGCGTAAAACAGCAACACCAACAACGACAACAAAAACAGCAGCAGCAGTAGCAACAGCAACAGCAGCAGCAACAGCAGCAGGTGCAGCATACGGTAATTTATTATCAGCAGCAACAGTCCATTGGTCAGGTAACAATGTAAATGATGTTTCTCTAGGGCATATAACAGGCTCAATAGTAAATGCAAGTCCTTTGTACATACACCCCGAGTTAGACGGAAACCAACGATGGTGGATCTGCACACATGAACCCTAAACCCTAAACCCTAAACCCTTAATAACCCAAACAACCCTAAATATCTATAAAGTATAAACAATCCCTAATAATATATATGCGTATAAACCCCCAAATAAGGTAGGTAATAACCAGTAAGACGGGCGAGACAAGGGGGAGGGAAGAGAGAGGAATCAAGAGAGAGGAAAAAGGAGACATGATGAGAAAAACGGACAGGAGAAGAAGACACAGAAAAGGAGAACGGATAAGAAACAAAAGATTAAGAGACAAAAGAAGGGACAAAAGAAGAAGAGAAGGAAGGAAAAAAAAAGAATAAAAAAAAAAAGAATAAAAATATGAATAAATACTAACAAGAGGTCTTTGATGGAATTTTCTTCCGATGCCATGACCACAAAATTGTCGAGGAGTAAAAAAATCCAAATTATCGATATAACGCTCTATAGCTATACCTATATTCGATAGCCTGCAGCAGCAGCAGCAGCAGCAGCAGCAGCAGCAGCAGCAGAAGCAACAACAGTAGTAGTAGGGGTTGTAGTCGTAGTTGTAGTGGCAGGGAAGCAGAGGAAGCAGCAGAAATGCAGCAGCAATGGCAACAGAAACGGCAATGCTGATTTGCTGCTGATGATCTGTTTCCATGTTGCTGCAGTTGCTGCTGCAATAAAAAGAGCAGCAACTGCAGCAACATGGAAACAGATCATCAGCAGCAAATCAGCAGCAGCAGCAACAGCAGCAGCAGCAGCAACAGCAGTAGCAGCAATCCCTATAAATCTTACGGCGCCCCCTCCTTGCATGCTAATATTCCTTTACGTGTTGCTGTCTCTGCTATCTCCGCCAGTTGCTGCTTCTTCTGTATCTCCACCTGAGATAGATAGGGGCCCCCAGGGGGGCCCCCGGGGGCCCCGTCAGAGGGTAGATACACCGCAGAGGAGCAGCAGTCCCCATGAAACCCATTTAGGTAAAGAGACACGTCAATAGACACCAGAGATCCTGGCTCTATTGGTTCTGCTGTAGGTACACCTGCAGCAGCAGCAACAACAACAACAGCAGCAACAGCAGGAGTAGTAGTAGTAGTACTAGTCCTGCTGCTGCAGCAACAGCCGGAGAGCAGCAGCAGCAACAACAACACACCAACAGCAGCAACAGTGCCATCTCTACTCCTACTGCACCTTCAACACCGCCAGAACCGCAGTAACAGCAGCACCATCAGCAGCAGCAGCAGCAGCAGCAAGTATACCGTGGCAGAGTATATGATCAGGAGATATGCAGCAACTCCTAGGGAATCCCTTATATAGGAGAGGAGAGGGATAACTAGATAAGGAGACAGTTAATGCATGCACAAAATAATCTATTAATAAGCCACTAAGAGGTAGATTAGAGGAGACTACTGCTGCTGCTACTGCTGCTGCTGCTGATAACCATGATACTGGCCATACACCGTAACGGGGACCACGCCATATGTAACCATTCCCACGGAATTCCTCCTGCTGCTGTTGCTGCTGCTGCTGTTGCTGCTGCTGCTGCTGCAGAGGGGGAGGAGGAGAGATGAAGCCCATAGCACACTCTAAAACAAAACGAGCGGCGCGACAGGCAGCACGTAACCCTGCAGCAGCAGCAGCAACAGCAGCAACAGCAGCAACAGCAGCAACAGCAACAAAAGCAGCAGAATGAGAATCAACAGCAGCTTAAACATTAATAGCAGCAGCACAAACAATAGAAGCAGCAGCACCAAGAACACCAACAGCAACAGAAGCAGCAGAAGGAGCAGCAGCAGAAGCAGAAGGAGCAGCAGCAACAGCAACAGCAGCCTCACTGTCCATCTCTTCATTAGTTAGCGGTGGTGGCATTTTTGCTGTATCACTATATTCATCATCATCATCATCTGCTGCTGCTGCTCCTGCTGCTGTTGCTGCTGCATAGGGGGGCCTCTCTATGTGGGGAGGAACTTGGCGTGTCAGCGGCGACAAGATCTCTGCTGCAACAGCATTAAGGTCCCCCTCAATCTGCTGCTGCTGCTGCTTCTGCTGCACTGATGATGAGCAGGAAGAGGAGCACCCAACAGCAAAGGGGGGCCCCATAAATCTAGGGGGCTCCCTGTGCTGCTGCTGAGGGAGACGCAGCCATTCCCCTCTACTAAATCCTTTCCCTGGCAGCAAACCCTTCGTATAGCCCCCTAAATACAGGTTTCCTCCGTTGCTTTTGCTGCTGCTGTTGTTGTTGTTGTTGCTGCTGCTGTTGCTTGGGGGTCTTCCAAGGAAGCGGAAACAGCTGCCGCTCTGAGGGGCCCCGCCTAGCAGCAGCAAGAGCAGCAGCAGCAGAAGCGTGTGTAGGGGCCCCCTTCCAGCAGCATTTCCTCCTGCTGGAGGAGGAAGGTAGGCAGTCATGGGGGGGCCCCCTCTTCCCTTGTTACAAGACAAGGGGGGGGCCAGATGCTACTAGTTTGCTGCCGTCCGTTATTATTTATTATTATTTATTGTTTATGATTCCTTTTTCCAGGTGCTGCCGTTAGCTGTCTACTGCTGTTTTTACCCTTATTGGAGGGGGCCCCCTGCTGCTAAGGGGCCCCCTCAATATGAAGGCCCCCTAAACGTTAGGGCATGCAGGCCTACAGAGGGTATTATAATCAATAAACAACTCCCTTATTTCCCTCTATTTTACTTCTTATCTGCTGTTGCTGCTGCTGTTGCTGCTGCTGTTGCTGCAGCAACAGCAGCAGCAACAGCAGCTTGCATACAGGGGGCCCCCTCGCGTCTATTTCGCAGCACAGGGGCCCCCTCCTGTCTTCTTCTTTACTGGTGCTTGTATGTCTTCCTTGTTTGTCTTTTTCTCTCCTCTTTCCTTTTATTTTATTGCCTTTCTTTTCTTTCCTTTTTCTTATCTTTTCATACTACCCATTTCTCCCAAGCAAACTCCCTCGGGGGCCCCAGACAGCAGCAGCAGCAGCTCGGCAGGGGCCCCTATCGCTCTAGCAGCTCAGGGACCTCTCCTTGTTGCTGCTGCTGCACAGCTGCAGCTGCTGCTGCTATAGCAACTGCCTGAATACTCTTCCTGCTTGTTTCCTGTCTCGTTAAGTATTAACGAGACAGGGAACAAGCAGGTACCCAGGGGGCCCGGCTGCACGTCGGGGGCCCCTGCTGCTCAGAGGTTTCGTATGGTGCTCGGGTGTACAGAGGGGCCCCCTGCTATTGAATCGGCACAGGGGGCCCCCAACGATTGGGGGCCTCCTGGGCCCGGGGGGTGCCCGGGCCCCCCGAGGGCCCTTGAGGTTGCAGGGCCCCCTGTAATTAGGACTTGGAAGGAATGGGGGACCCCCTGCTACCTATCGCAGTGTCTACGCTGCTGCAGCGGTTGTGCTGCCTTAGGTATATCACGACTCCTTAGGAGGGGTAACATTATCTGTGCTCTGCAGCTGCTGCAGTTGGGGCCCACAGGGGCCCCCGCAGGGGCCCCCGTTGAGGTGTCTCTGCTGCAGCTGCAACCCCCTAAAGAGGTCTGCCCCGTGGCAGCAGCAGCGCTGAGGAATATATCATCAAAAGTATTCTTTAGCAGCAGCAAGAGCGACAGCAGCAGCAGCAGCAGCGAAAGCAGCGACAGCAGCAGCAGCACCAGCGACAGCAGTAGCAGCAGCAGCGACAACAGCAGCAGCACGGTGGAAGTTTCTGCAGCCCCGGGGCCCGCTGGCCCTGGTGGTAGTGGTCTTGCCGCTGCGGCGGCGGCAGCAGCAGCCCCTGATGCAGCAGCGCAAGCAGCAGCCCCTGCAGCAGCACCAGCAGCAGCAGCTCCTGCTGCTCCTTCATGTTTCTGTCGCTATTTGCCTCTTTGTGAAGACTGCTTAGGCATACAGGGGGCCCCCCATAGGGGTATTGAGGGGGCCCCCAAGGGTTGCAAGAACTGCAGCAGGGGGCCCCTTCCTCCTATAGTAGAAGCAGCACGACTATCTCGTCTTTCTTTAATGCCTTGGGGGGGCCCCTTATTGAGGGAATATGTCTCTTCTTCAGCCTTAGCAGGTTTTATGGGGCCCCCCCTTGGGGGCCCGCAGGGGGGCCCCCCTGATGGGGCCCCCTCAGGGGTTCGTTTTTTGCGGTGTCTGTACACTTGGGGATCGCAGGATTCTTATCTGTTGGGCCTTCCTTCTTTCTCGTGCCGCGGAGATAAGAGAGATAAGGCCCCTACAAGAGTACCCTTAAGGACGCTTAATGCTGAGCAGCAGCAGCAGCAACAGCAGCAGCAGCAGGAGCAGCAGCAACGGGAGAAGGAGGAGGAGGAGCAGCAGCAGGATAAGAAGGTTAAGGTTTTTACCTGCAGCAGCTGTGGGGGCCCCCATTGCTTCCCCTCAGAGTGCCTAGGGATAACAGGGGTATACTGCGGCCCTGGGGCCTCTGCAGCAGCAACAAATAGTACCCTTTGGGTGTGGGGCCCCGCAGCAGGAGGCAGCAAAGGGGTTGTTGTGGGGCCCCAACCCCTCCCCTTAACGATACCCTCATCTACTCTCCTGGACATGGAGGCCCCTTCATCAGCAAGGGGGGGCCCCGAGAAGCCCATGCATGTAGCGCAGGTACAGCAAAAACAACAGCAGCAACAGCAGCAACAGCATAAGGGGCCCCTCGCCTATTTTATTAATAAAATAATAATAATAATAATAATAATAATAATAATAATAATAATAAATGATAATAATAATAATAATAATTTATTTTATTAAGGATTTCTTTTGTTTTTCTTTATGTGCTCAGGTTGCATTAGGGTCTCGCCATGGCTTAGCCCTCCTTAAGCGGGAGCCATCGGGGGCCTCCTCCTTGGAGGTCCCCTTCCTGGGGCCCCCCTCTTGGGCGGACCCCATGGGCCCACTGAGGGCCCCAAGCGGTGCTACGGGGGCCCCTGTTTCTGAAGACAATGAGAGTACCGAAACCCTCCTCTATGTGTGGGGCCCGGACCCTTTGTGGGGTGCAGGAGCAGCAGCAACAACAGCAGCAGCAGCAAACTCAGGAGCAGGAGGCAGCAAGGATGGAAAGGGGCCTCCTCCTTTCGGGGGGCCCCAGCTGATGTGCCACTCTGGTGGGGGGGCCCCCGAAAAGGGTCCGGGTAGGGGTCCCCTAAAGACAGAGCTTGAGACCCTCACGAGGCCGTACAAGGGCCCTAGGGGATCCCATCGATCTGCTGCAGCTGAAGCAGCAGCAGCAGGAGCTGCAGGGGAGCCGCTGCTGCCTATAAGGGGCCCCCTCCGGCTGTCTGTCTCTTCAGTTTCGGCAGGAGACAGACATGCATTGCTGCTGCTCGATACAGGTATATCAATATGAAACCCTAAACCCTAAACCCTAAACCCTCGCACAAGTACTTTCTGATGGCTAACTCCCGGCTAAGCCTTTGAATTGCCTGTAAAGCTAAGATGTTAGGGTTTACGATTTAGTATCTAGGGTTTAGGGTTTATGGTTTAGGGTTTAGGGTGTATGGTGTATTCGTTCAGGGGCCACCTTAACACTAGGGGCGAATGATAGGGGACAGTGCGGTTTGCCTCCTTCTGTCTCTTTTGTCTCCTCCCCTGAACTTCTCTCTCTTCCTCCTGTGGTGCAGCTAGCAGCAGCAGGTGCTGCTTCTGCTGCACTTGCAAAGGCACCTCAACGTAAGAGCAGCAGCAGCAGCAGCAACTGCAGCTAGATGGGGGTGTTTTAGCGAATCTTGCTGCTGCTGCTCCTGATACTACTATTACGTTTGCTGCTGTTGCTGCTGGTGTATGTTCTCCTATTACATAGGGTAATTTCCTGCTGCTGCTGTTTCTGCTGCTCCTGCTGCAGAGGTTTTTGTATGGGGCGCATGCCCTGTTTCTCCGTCACCCCCTGGAGCAGCTAGCAACCAGCAGCAGCAGCAACAGCAACAGCAGCAACAGCAGCAGCAGCAACAGCGACGACGGCAAGAACAAGCCGCTCCGTCTGTATTTGGCCGGGGCAGCATAAGCAGCAGGACGAGCAGCAGCAGCAGTAGTAGTAGCGCCAGTAGTAGCAGCAGTAGCAGCAGCAGCAGCAACAAGAACTGGGAGTTATTTTTCAAGCCTCTTCCTGTAAAGCTAATGAGGACTCACTCAACTCCCTCTGGAGGGGCCCCCCATGGGCCCCCAGGCGAGTGGCAGCAGCAGCCTATGGGGCATGGGGCCCCCTCGTTGCAGTTAATATGCGTATCAGATTATGCAGGTGCTGCAATTACTTCTAATGGCTTGTAAGTACCATCTAACGCTCCTGAAGGGGGGCCCCCAAGGGCCCCCGTTGAATAGCTGGCTCCGTGCTTCTGCTTTTGGCGTGTGCTGCAGCTTCTGCTTGCTGCCGTTGCTGCTGCTCTGTGTGTTGCCTGCAGGTTGTGTGTCTGGCGATCTGGATGTAGGCCTGCGGAGATGCATTTCGTATCTCAAGAGCAAGAGCCTTCCAATGAGGGCCCCCAAGGGCCGTTCGAGGTGGGGGGGGGGCCCTCAGCGCTGTACCCTCTACCCAAGTTTTCTAGCATCTCCTTTGGGGGCCCTTTAAAGCTGCTGGGGCTGACGGCTGATGGCCTATTGTATTCTATTCCCCTTAAAGCAGAAGCAGCAAGTGCTGCTGGTGCTCCTGCTGCTGCTGCAGCAGTCGCTATAGGTACACCTCAGCTGCTGCCTTTGGGGGGCGTTGCAGCAGCATCATGCAGCAGCTGCCACGGCGCTGCTGCTGTCGTCTTAGCTCTACCTGAATACCCTATTCCCCTTCCCATGGTGGAAGGGAAGAAGCAACAGCAGCAACAGCAACAGCAGCAACCGGAGCAACAGCAGCAACGGGAACAGCAACAACAGCAACAGCAGCAACAGGAACAACAGCAACGGCAGCAGCAGCAGAAACAGCAGCAGCGAGAGGAATTTCCTTCTCTTGTGTCGTTTTGCTGCAGCAAAATAGCTTCGCGTTGCTCTTGTCTTGCAGATTTGCTGCAGCTCTCAGGTCTAAGCAGCAAGCTGCTGCTGCCGCAGCTGTTTGACTTTTGCTGCTGCGCTCTTCTGCTGAACCTTCCCTTGCTGCTGCTGCAGCTGCAGCAGCAGCAGCAGCACCACGTCCACCAGCCTCTCGTGCTGTACCGTGCTGCTGCTGCCGGCATGCAGCACTTGCTAGCGCAGCTAGCGGAGGCAGGGGCCCTTAGTGTGTGGCCCCACAGCGTAGAAGGGTTGGGGGCCCCCCCATTGGAGGACGTCTCTGAGGAAGGGCCCCCTGGTTCCCCACAAGGTAGTACTAGTGCCCTTGAGGACCCCCTAGCAGGTAGTAGTAGTAATAGTACCCTTGGGGGCCCCGCAAGTGTGTGCCGCCTACCTGCTGTCTGTACCCTTATCTCTCGCAACCCAGGGGCCCTTCTTGGTTGCTGTAGGGGGCCTCGTGAAGACATTTGGTTGTCTCTATTTGCTGCTGAGGAGGGGCCCCTAAATGCTGCACTCCCGAAGAAAGAGGCCCCTGCAGCAGCACAAAGCGCTGCGGGGCCCGTTGCAGAGCAGGAGCAGCAGCTACAACAGCAACAACAGCAGCACCAACAACTACAGCAGGCCAACAAGGACTGCAAGCAGCAAAAGCGGCAAAAGCCGCAAGAGCGGAACAAGCAACGCCACGCCGTGCAGCAGCAGCAGCAACAACACCAGCAACAGCAGCAGCACCAGCAGCGTGATCCTGAAGAGAGGCAGCAGGCGTGGGTCCATCGGGGGCATCGCCCTTTAGGGAGGTCTTCGTTAGAAGGCAGCAGCAGCAGCAGCAGCAGAACAAACGAAAGCAGCAGCAAAGAAGTACACCCTTTTATAAAAAGGTCACAGCCACCTGCTGAGGGGCCTCTTATAGCTAACTCGCTGGGGGCCCCCCTGTACCCTCACCCTAAGGAGGCCCCCCCCAGGGGTACCCGGATGTCTTCTGCATCGCCGGCTGTTGGGGCTCCCCAGTGGGTTGTTGCTGCAGCAGAGCCGATGGGAGGGTCGCCCCAAGGGCCCCCCTCAGCAGCAGCAACAACAGCAGCAGCAGCAACAGGGAGAGGTGCTGCGGCCCCCTTTCAAGTATCTTTGGAGACCCTCGTGCGTGTTAGGCCAAGCAGAAGGGCCATTAAACTAATGCAGCTGCGGGACGAAAGGGACCTTGCTGTAGAGCAGCAGCAGCAACAGCAACGGGAGCAGCAGCAACAGCTTCCCTCAAAGGTGGGCAAACATCCATGGGGGGCCCCCGCAGGAGAGCGAAAGGCGTGGGGAGGGGCCCCCAAGACGACGGGGGGGCCCCCTCCAGCGGCAAGCATTAGGCAGGTAATGGAGGAAGAGCTGTTGCAGCGGCAGCAGCAGCAGCAGCAGGAGGAGCAGCAGCAGCTGCTGCAGGATCGGATGCGTGCTTCTGAGGCCCCTCTTTCTACAGTAAAGATGGGGGCACCTTTGAAAGTTCGGGGGGCCCCAGCGCATGACCCCAGCTGCAACTGTTGGGGCCCCGCTGCTGCAGCAAGGGTACAGGGTACTGCAGCAAGGGGCCCCAGCTTAGCAGAGATAGAAGAAGAAGAGAAAGAGACAGCCTTAGCAATACTACTAGCAGAAGAAGCCATCTATTACGAGCAGCTAATGCAGCAGTGGGGCCCCCAACAACTAGAGGGTACAGAGGGGCCCTCCCCGCAAGAGGTGGGAGGGGCCCTCCAGGGGGGCCCCGCAAACACAGGGCAGCAGGGGCACCCCAGCAAAGGCACAAGACCCAGTGCAGCAAAAGGCAGAGGCAGAGGGGGGCCCCCACGAACAGGGCCCAGAGGGAATGGCAACAACAGGGGCCCCTCAAGATCCTCAGGGGGGCCCCCAGTGGGGTCACCAAACACCAAACGATCGGGGGCCCCCTCATCGGGCCCCCCGAAACCCTCGGGAGGGAACTCAAGGGGGGCCCCTAGATCGGCAGGGCCTCCTAGAGGCAAGCGCCACTCTACAGGGGCCCCCAGGTGAGGGATTGTGTACTCTTTTACACTGGACGTACGTTAGTAGGGGGCCCTTTTCGGGGGCCCCCTACTTACTGTAGGGCTTTTACCCTGTACCCTGTTGAGAGGCACTGCTGTGTGCAGCAGAAATGGCCCCTAGAGGGTTTATGTTTATAGGGGCCCCTTTAGAGACGGTATTAGAGGGAATATACCCTGATGCTGTAGGGATGTAAAGGCCTCGACCTTACTTAGGGTTTAGGGTTTATTAGGGTTTATGAGGGTTTAGGTTTTATGTATTATTAGATTCTTTGCGTGTATTGATAGCTTCTTGTGCAGCAGCAACAATAGAGGTTAATTTAGGTGTAGATAAAGGTCTAATAGGAGGAAACAGTCCCTCTAATTGAGCAATTGTATCTAAAATATTTTTTATTTCTTCTGTCTCCTCATTAGTTAGAGGAGGATAATCATTTTCTCTTTCTTGTCGCTTCTTAGGACCACGACGATCCTCCTTCTTTGCTGAAGGACTGCTGCTGCTGCTGCTGCTGCTACCGCCAGACCTCTCCAAAATGTCCTGTATTCTGCAGCAACAGCAGCAGCAGCATGCAAGGCAACAGAGGAAGATGGACATACGCGTGTAACAAATTAAACAATTAGTTGCAGCATTAGTTGCAACAGCAGCAGCAGCAGGATCAACAACAACAGCAACAAAAACAAAACCAGCAACAGCAAGAACAGCTGCAGCTGCAGCAGCAGCAGCAAGAATGATACCTTTGTGTTGCCTTTAACAGCGCGAGTGTATTTTGTAGTTTTTCTTCTGTTTGTTTATGGGGGCCCCTTAGCTTAGCTTGCTGCATTTGCTGCAGTACCTTCTCTAGGGTATCTATTTTTATATCTTTTGCTGCTTCTTCTGTCATTATCTCTGCTGCAGCACTTAATACTTCTTGTCTCTTCAGCTGCAACAGACGCAGGGCCTCCCGTGTCTCCTTTTGGGGGCCCCTTACCCGCAGCAGAGGGCTGACGGGCGCCTGCGGAGGGGGAGGCCCTCCTTCGTCCTCTTCTACACCTTCATGCTGCTGCTGCTGCTGCTGCTCCTGTTGCTCCTCCTGCTGCTGCAGCATGGCGCGCATGTTCCCAATGCAGGCAGTTGTTTCTTCCAGCGCATCTGTAAGATCATCTGTTGCTGTCTCTTCTTCAATAAGGGGCCCCCAGCAAGGTCCCTCTTTTGCCTGGGGGGCCCCACAAGAAAGGGAGAGGGGGGCCCCCATCTGGGAACCCCAAGTGATGGGGGGGCCCACAATACGTGTTGCTGATTCGCCTGCAATAGAGGCAACAAACCTCTTAAGCTCAGGGTGGGTATAGAGCTCAGGTTGCAGGGGGCCCTTAAGGAGTTGAGGAGCAGCAACAGGGGCCGTGGGGGCCCCCTCAGAGGATACAATGGACTGTCCTCTGTCTCTCCTCGCCTCATCTTTACCACCTTTCGAAAGGGGGCCCCTGCCTCCTGATGCTGCTGGGGCTCTACCCTTCTCAGGGGGCCCCCGTGGTTTCTTGTCGAGGCCCCCCTGGTTCTTCTTGTTGTTCCCACCACCTCTGGGCCCCCCCACCTCTTCCTCGCGACTCTTCTGGGGGGCCCCTGCTGCACCTTTCTCCAAAGCAGCAGCAATTTGCTGCGGGGTCATGGGGCCTCCCCCTGCTGCAGCAAGAGCGGGCCCCACACACTCTGTATATAACTTCTCTAGGGCATCGGGGCCCCCAATCAAAAGGCCGAGGGGCCCCTCAGTTAGCAGTTTGCTGCTGCAGAATATCTGCTGCGTTAATTCAAAGGGGCCCTCTCCTCCTTCTATCTCTATGTCAGGGGCCCCCCATAAAGGGTACCGGGGGCTGCATTCTATACTGGGGGGCCCCCACCAAGGAGGCAACCTCTTAGAGTCGCTGAAGCTGCGGACCCCAAATATGTCATCCTGCCTCCATGATTCTTGCTGCTGCTCCTGCTGGTCTTGCTGCTCCTGCTGCTGCTGGTCTTGCTGCTCCTCCTGCTGCTGCTGCTGCTGCGCTTCTGCCTTAAGTGCTTGTACAAACTGCACAATAGTTAAGTTAAGCTTCCAATAGACGAGTTGCAGCAAATGCTGCAGCGAGAGTGGGTTGGGCACCCCCGGGGTATCTGCACTGCTGCTGACGCTTCCTCCTAAGAGAGGGCCCCGTAGAAGGGCCCCCGGGGGCCCCTGGAGGTACAGCCGCCTGCTGAGGACCGCCTGTTGGCTCCTACCAGGGTATGTAGGCTCCTTCCATGCTGCTGCTATCTCGTCTTTTGTTATATCAGGGCCCACAGCCACCTCACCGCTTCCCGTTGCCTCTAACACCCAGTTCAACGTGCTGCTGCTGCTGCTGCTGCTGCTGCTGTTGCTGTCGTTGCCGCTGTTGCTGCTGGTGCTGCGGTTGCTGTTGCTGCTGCTGCTTCTGCAGTAGTAGCTTTCTGTGGTGGAGCGGGGGGAGGGAGGTTCAGGTGGTGCTTCTTCATAATAGTGGGCACGCAGCACGTAGAGGGCCCCAGGCAGCAAATGGACATCAGCGAATATGCAGCAAGAGGGGGCCTCCTGCTGCAGCAGCAGCACCTCCTCAGGCCTCTGCAGCATGTCTTCTTTCCCTGTGAGGCCATCATCTGCCTCTGCAGCAGCTCCTTTAGAAGCCTTAGAGGTGGTCTTAGAACTTGTTCCTGCTGCTCCTGCTGCTGCTGTTGGGCTCCCGTCGTGCTGCGGATCTAAGGTAGCGTGGCTGTTGTCTTCTCCTAAGCGCTTGTCTCTTGCGGCATCGGGGGCCCCCCTCTTTACCAGCTGCAGCAACTTCGCACACAACAGGGCCCCTGGTGGAGCCCCTTCTGCCGTCAGGCTAAGGGACAGGCGAGCTGCTTGGGGACCCCTCACAACCAGTCTGTGGTTGCATAGGAGGATTGCCTCTCCGTATGGGCCCCCAACGAGGTCCAACAGCTCGGGGGGGCCCTGGGGGCCCCCAAGTGGGGTCCCCTGCCAGAGGGCCTTGAAGGTGAGTGGCAGGGGTTGCATACAGAGGGGCCGCTGAGGAGAGAGAGATGTGGGGGAGAGGGGGGGTCCTCCAGCAGCATCCTTGGTAGACGCGTCAAGGCCTGGGAGCCCCTCAGCACCAGGGGGCCCCAGTGGGCCCTCCGGGGCCCCTGGGGGCCCCTGAGGAGGCATAGCCACACTCAAGGAACAGTGGACGGCCCTAGAGGGGGTAGGAAGTGCTGCTTCTAGCAGCAGCAAGTACCTACCGATGTAGTACTGCGGCTGTTGCTGCTGTTGTTGCTGTATCTGCTGCTGCTGCTGGAGGCAGGGGTCCATTAAGGGTACTTTTAGGAATGGCAGCAAAGGGAGAGAGCGAAGGTCTGAGGCCCCGAGGTTAACTGCTACAGAGCGCTGCTGCTTTGGGTCCTGTGAGGTGGCCCCCTTTAAGGCCTGGGGGCCCCCCGCAGCTGACACACTCACAGGAGGCCCGAGTGGCGTCAAGGAGAGCCGGAGGAGGGGCCCCAAGCCTGCATGGGGTACCTGCAGCATCAGCAGCAGATAGGGGGGGCCCCAGAAGCAGCTCCATAGGGCCTCCACTTCTGCTTTATACCAAATAGAGTGACAGCCGGGGGGCCCCCTCTCGGGCCCCACAATAGGGTACTGCTGCACACAGAAGGACAGGGGAGGGCCCGCAAGGAAGCTCTCCAGGCTCAGGTGCGTGCAGGGTACTTCAAGGGGCCCCTGTGGCAGTATTGCCTGGGGGGCCCCCGCAGCGTCTTTAGGCAAGGATGCAGCGGCCCCCGAGGACTCGCTTGAGGGCCCTTTCCGTTTGCTTTGTTGCTGCTGCTGCTGTTGTTGAGCCGCCTCTGCTTGCTGCTGCAGCTGCTGCAACTGTAGCAAAGGCCTCCTCCAAGAGACAGTAAAGGGTGCCGCTGCTGCGGGGGCCCTCAAGATAACAAGGAAAGCAAAGGTACCTGCCCCCAGCTCTAAGAGACAGGAGACAGGGGCCCCCTTCTCGCCGTGCAGCAGCAAGCTACTGAGGCCCCTAGCCAGTCTTAGCATCTGGGGGGGCCCCCTGTCTGCCCCCAAGCGAGGGAGGCCCACATCTTCTGCTAAAAGGGCTCCCTTCATCTGCTGCAGCAGCAAACCTGCTGACGTAGCAGCAAGAGCCCTGCTGCCATGGGGGGCCCCCCATCCAGTCGCCAGTGTATTAACCCTTTCGGGGCCCATTAGCATCTGTGCTGCCGCAGCAAACTCTGCAGCAGCAGCAGCAGCAGCAGTCCCTGGGATGATGCCCCCCGCAGCATCCGTTGCTGCACCATGCTCAGCAGAAACAGAAGTAGCAGCAGCAGCAGCAGCAACAAGCCAGGCAGAGACTTGAGGTGTTTTTGCTGCCCATTGCGGGATAACGGTATCGAGATTAAGGAGGTGGCAGGCAGTGTCTTCCCTCTGCTTCTGCTGCTGCTGTTGCTGCTGCATCTCTTGCTTCTTCTGTTGCTGCAGTTGCTGTTGCTGCAGCTGCTGAAGGGATCCCTCGTTGTCAGCGGGGGGCCCCCCAGTCTCCTTTATGGGGGCCCCTTGCTGAGGGTTGTTAAGCAGCGAAGGTGTCCCTTGAAGGGACAAAATAAGTGTGTGTGGACGAAAGAAATTTAATAGGCGTTTCTTGTTTGTTGCTGCTGTCTCTCCTGCCTCTCCTGCTGCAACATGGTTGCTAGTAGGACTTGGTGCTGCTGCTGCTGCTGTTGTTGTTGTTGCTGCTGCTGCTGGTGCTGCTGGGGGGAACAGTCTCCTTTTGGGGATATTAAGGAGACAGACAGAGGCCCTCAGAGGGTACTGAAGGGCGAGGGGCCCCTGCTGGTAATCATAAAGCTCTTGAAGGGGGGCCTCATCGAGGGCCTGCTCAGGCAGATACACAGAAAATGTCGGGCCCTCCCAGCAGCAGCAGCTGCTGCTGCTGCAACTCTTGCAGCAGTTGCTGCAGTTGCTACTGCAGCATCCTCTGACTGCCAGGGCATCTACCATCTTTTGCCAATGCACCCACGGGCCCCCCTCCAAGCGGAGGCCCTCAGGGGGTACAGGAGGGGGGCCCCCTGTTGCCCAGGGCACTCCCCACGTCTTCAGTGCCTCCTGAATGACTGCTGCTTTGTTCTGCTGAGCCTACGCAGCAACAAGAGCAAGAGCAACAGTAACAGCAACAGTAGCGGCAGCAGCAACAACGGCAGTAGCAGTAACAAAAGCACCGTGCAAGTCTAAACAGCAGGTGCGGAAGATGCAGCAGCGTGGCCACACCGCCGCCAGCAGCAACGAAAGGCCATCACTGCCACTCTCCCTACGAGCAGCAGCAGCAGCAACAGCAGCAGCAATATTCTTACGATGTGTGATCCGCTGCCGCGGCGTGCGACTGCGGCAGCAGCAGCACCGCCAGACCTTGGTGTGTCTGCATTGCCACCAGAGTTGCTGCTGTCTTTGCCTCTAGGAGACCCTACTTCTTGTTCTGCCGCTGGTGCTGCTGCAGCAGACGCTGCTGCTGCTGTTGCTGTAGCAGCAGCAACACCACCACCAGGGGCTCCCGGGTGCACCTCCGAGGTCAATATTTCTCCTACAGGGGCATCCTCCCCGCTGCCAGGAGTGGTGGGGCCCTCAGGTTCCTCCCTGTCCATTTCTGCTGGTAAAGGGGCCCCCCCTCCAAGGAGATGCTGCAGCAGCACTGCAAAGGGCCTCTGTACGATGATGGGGCCCCCTTCTTTTTCTCTTGTGATCTGAGGGGGAGCAGCAGCAGCAGCTGCTGCTGCTGCTGCCGCCCGTTGCTGCTCCTCCTCCTTATTAAGCGGATGCTGAGGACTATTAAGGGGGAGGGCCCCACTGAAGTCTGTTAGGAACTGCTCACATGGAAGCTGGGGCCCCTCCAGGGTCCCCAGGTGAGGGGGAGGCCTGGGGGGCCCGACCTTCTCCGCTTCCCCAAACGCAGCAAACAGCTCTCCAGGGGCCCCGGCTAGCTGCTGCAGAGGCCCCCCACCTGACTGCCTGTTAAGGAGAGATACTGAAGGGGTGTCTCCTTCTTGTGCTGCAGCAAGGAGAAAGGGCCTCCATCCTAACATCTGTTCAAAGGGGCCGCCTACAGACCTTAAGGGTCCCCCCCGTTGTACCCCTTCCTGCTCTCTCTCCCCTCCAGCAGCAGCATCAGCAGCATCAGCAGCAGCAGCAGAGTTTGCCTTGAGCTTAACAGATGCCCATAGGCCTTTAAGACAGTAGCAGGAGACAAGAGAAGGAGACAGGGGCAGCAGTACCTCCTTTCTGCCTGTGAGGGCCTCAATAACAGGTGGGGGCCCTCCTCCGGCTGCTAGAGGCCCCCTGAATGCCTTAAGGATCCCTTTAGCAAGTAGGGGCCCCCACATCTCCCTGGGGTCTTTAGAGACGGGAAAAACGGGGGCCCCCGTGGGGCCCCCATCAGGTACTATATCATCAATCTGTACTGCCCTCCATGCCCCCTCTAAGTACAAACGAACTGCATATACACCTGAAGGACTAACTAGAGGAAGACCTGTCTCTGATTGAGGGTGTATTAACTCCCATAGAAAGAGACCACGGGGTATAGAGACAGCACACTCCCCGATAAAACTATACACTGCATGCAACCATCTACCAAAGGGGCCCCCTGGTAATTCCCCTAAGGTAAACGAACGGGTACAGTAACTCTTTAAACTCACCACCATACAACGACCTACGCTCGGGGCCCCCGTAGATGAATCAGGAGCCACGGGGGACTCAGCGGGACCCCCCGGGCTGGCGAGTGATCCGCCGGGGGAACTAACAGGGGCCCCAGTAGGGGATAACAAAGGGGCCCCCGTCCTAGGGGAGGCCAGAGGGGGACTCCCAGAGGAGCCCCCAGGGGCCCCCCCATTGGAGCCCCCAGGGGAGACCACAGGGGCCCCCGCAGGGGCCCCTGCTCCAGAAGGGTTACAACATGCGCCCCCATTTGACCCTGCAGCAGACGTGGGGGGCCCCACGTCTAAGCAAGTGTAGGGAAGGATTTTCTCTCCATACTTTGCGAACAACTCTTGTTGGAGGCCCCCCCCGACGGGTGGGGGGGCCCCAAGAGGGCCCCCCGATGGGGGTACCGAAGGCTCTGGGGGGCCTTTAGATGCACCTACGCTCTTGAGGGAGGAGGCCCCTTGGGGGGGCCCATCTGGTGGAATAAGATTAGGGGGCCTCTTGCGGCTCTGCAAGGAATAAGAAGGCTCCTCTGGGGGCCCCAATTGAGCGGCATCCTTCCCTCTAGCACTGTTTGGAGGCCCCTTGGGAGCTTTGTTGCTGCGCTTAGAGGGAGCGGAAGAAGATGCTGTTGCATCTGCTGCTGCCGCTGCTGCTGCTGCTGCTGCTGTTGCCTCACTGGATAGAACAGGTGGGGCAGCGGGTTCAAACTCCATCAACTCATAAGGAGGGTTGGGGGCACCCAAGTGCACCGCCCTAGTCCAACCCACAAAGGGCCCCAGTAGCTCCTGCGAAAGAGCGGGAGGCCCCCTAAAGGAGGTATCTACGAACTTGGGGCCCCCCTCGGGGCCATCTGCAGGACCCTTCCATTCCAAGGGCCCCTTGAGGTCACTTGCTGCGGTATACGTACATCCCAGCTTTTGCCCCTGGTAAGCAGGAGGTATCTCAATAAAACCCTCAGGTCTCCCAGGTGGTCTCACGGGCTCCAAAGGGACAAACTGGGGGGCCCCTGGGGCCCCCTCGTCATTCGAGGGCCCCTTGGGGGCGACCATAGGAAGTCGCGCCCTGAGGGTATTGACCTGTGCGCTAATACGAGCTGCAGATACACCTCAATTTCCCCCTTTTATTTATTGATTAAAGCAGTAAAAAGCATTATTTTATCTACATCTACATATACGGGGCTCCTGCTGCGCCGCAGCCACAGCAGCAGCGAGCGAGCCCGCGAGGTCACTTATTCCTTATCAAGATGACGTGCCTATTCACCCGAAATTGCATAAATAAAGGGGTTAATTAATTGAAATCTACATCTAAAATATATTTTATAAATGTATTTTGAATATAAAATTCAAAACACTAACTGCTTCCCATAATTGAAGCCCCCCTGCCCCCGTCGAGACATCGCTCGCGACACGGGGGCCCCCCAAGTACCTTAAGGGCCCCGAACCTTTTGTGGTACTGAAGCAGGGGCCCCTAGACATCCTTAAGGACCCCCAACGCCTGCTGAATTAGGAGACGCACAAATAATTTAGGACAAACCTTCATATGCGGCCGTCTGGGCCCCCTACATCGCATGCATGTATGCAGTACGGATCGGTGTATACACCTAATAGGCGTTGAGGAGCATTCTGAGGTTTGCTGCATGCGCTGCTATAAATGCATGCATATACCTTGGGGTTCACATGCATCAGTGAGTTGCACACAAACCATATCTAAACCCCAAAATGCTCGAAAAGGGCACACAGGGGCCCCCTAGGGGCCCTCCTAATTGGGGAAGGGGCCCCTGGGGTGGCCCTGTGCCACTAGGCGCTACGATGAGGGAGAGGGGCCCCTTTCTGGCCCCTGTATCCCTTCATCATAGCGCTTTCTTATGTTTCCTTCGAACAATGTCCCCTAAAAGGCCATCGACAGCCCCTTGGGGGGCCCCTGGGGGGCCTCGGTGGGCCCTTATAATGCCCTCCTTGAGACCTGTGGTGGGGCCCTAGTCGGCATCCACAGAGGATAAATTTTGAGACTGAAGGTCCCCCCTACCATAAACCCTAAACCCTCATGACTTAAGGGTCTTCTAGCTTTAATAAGGCGTTAGGGTTTCGTTCTCTGCGAACATATAGACACCAACAAACCGTAAACCCTAAACCCTAAACCCTCACGAGTTCCCGAATGGAGTATGCTGCCTATATCTCTAGGGTTTGTGCCTACAAGTAGAAGATGTTGTTGCACATCAGCAGCAATCAATGCATTGTTTAGGGTTTAGGGTTTATTGTTCAATATTTACCTGAATGCTTGTGCCTGCTGTTGAGTAACATGTGTATTAGGCATAGTAATACATTTAAGAGAAGGATGAGTAAAAGAAGAAAAAAAATTCAAAGAAATTCCCGTCAGAAAAAAACAACGACTTAGATGAAAAAATTCTAATCGGAATAAATTACGTGCTACTGCTTCAACACCTGCATCCGTCTATATATACATATACACACACATACAACAATAAACCCTAAACCCTAAACCCTAAACCCTAAAATTGAAATCCTAGACCTTAAGTCCTAAATCCTATGCAGGAAATACTAAACAATCAATCAGAAACCCTAAACCCTAAAACCTTTCACCAAAACCCTAGACGGTAAACCCTCAAGCCTGAACCCTTCCCTCAATGCGTCTTATAAACCCTCTATTACAATGTGATGGTCTCCAAGGGTTTAGGGTTTAGGGTTTAGAGTTCACAATTACCGTCCGCGTGCCGTCAAGCCGTAGACTGCGCAGCCGTCGGCAACCCGTCGCCACCTGCCCACAAACAACATCCCTCTAACCCTAAACCCTAAACCCTAGCTCTGGACGATAAGGGTTGTACGCTGGTAGGGGGAAACCAACCTGGCACTGCTCGTACGTATTATCTACGGGAAAACATTTTTAGGGTTTAGGGTTTAGGGTTTGCGTACCTGCGTAATTCCTTCATCAGCTAATTGTGCACATTTAGATAGAGACAGTCTCCTTAATGACGGACAAGCGGCAGCTAAATACTTCAAACCCTCGTCAGTAAGACGATCATTTCTATGGAGGGCTAACTCTAATAAGGAGGGGCCTAGACTCTTGCTTATTGCCTCTAGAGTAGCGTCACTTATCCTGAAACCAAAAACCCTAAACCCTAAACCCTAAACCCTAAACCACAGATACAGAATGTGCAGACACAAGTAAAGACAACATGCAGACGAATATTCACCATAAACTCACACACCAGCAGTAACGAATGCGGACAGCACACACACCCTAAACCCTAAACCCTAGGTGCTACTGCATACCTGGCATCATTTAATACCACTGTCCTTAATTTGCTGCAACCCTTGAGGAGTTCAACAACACTCATGTCGTTAACACCCGAGCAAGCCCCTAAGTTTAGGGTTTCTAAGTTCTGAAGGTATGACAGCGTAAACCCTAAACCCTCGGTCAGAAACCCTCAAACCCTCAACCCTTCTTTCATATTCCAAACCCTAAACCCTCCCCTATCTCCCGCATCTTCTTTGCCACGGGGTAGTCGTCTACAGACCGCTCGTCAATAGTTTACGGTATACGTGGAGGTGAAGGTGAGGGTTTAGGGTTTAGGGCTTACCGGGCAGCAAGCGGCCACAGCAGAGAGCCCGGCCTCGCTGATAGAGTGGCATCCTTTGAGGCACAAGCTTAACAAGTTGGGTCCCTGTACCACACCAAACCCTAAACCCTAAACTCTCTCTATTCTCCCTCAAGAGTGCTACGGAGTGCGTGGGTAATCAATCCCATGTAGGGTCTATACGTAGTGCTGCAGCTGTGCATGATGAAGTTGAGGGTTTAGGGTTTAGGGTTTGGGGTTTACCAGGGCTGTTGCGAGGGTTTGTAGCCCCACATCAGATATATCCGACGCCTCTACAGACACCTTATGCAAGCACCAACTGTGCAGGCGCTCTATAGGCTGCTGTTTTATGCCTCTCCTCCTCTTACGTTGGGGGCCCTCCCAGTACCCTTGGGGGCCCCCCGCAGCCTCCGCAGAGGCCCCTGACCCACAGGCATCCAATGCCTCGTGAAGAAAAGCATCCGACACACCATGCAGCCTGACACACACAGCAGAAACCCTAAACCCTAAACCCTAGACCCAATGCTGTGACTCCTTGGAACTATGACGTGCGCACCAAACCCTAAACCCTAAACCCTAAACCCTGAAAACTTACCCGTTGAGCTCGAGCTCCTGCAGATTAGCAGAGAGGGACCTCGCAAACACCATACAATCGATGTCCGATAGTACGGCGAAGGGGAGGCCGCAGCTACGACTTAAACTTAAAGCCTTCAGTTTACCTGAAAAGCCCCAGACCCTAAACCCTAAACCCTAAACCCTAAACCCCAGATGCGAAACCTAAATGTACCCGTGCAAACCCTCAACTACTGATTCCTCAAGCCTTGAAGGGGCAGAGCGGGCGCGATAGGGGCAGAGGTGCACTTCGGGTTTACGGTTTACGGTTTAGGGTTTAGGGTTTACCGAGCAGGGGTCTTAGTCGTGCGAGGCCCTCCGCTGTGACTAGTGGTTGCTGTTGCACAACACGGCACGACAAACACTTAACAACCGAACCCTAAACCCTAAACCCAAGATCGTAGGGGTAGTCATGCGGCATATGGGGGCAAGTGTACGTGAATTTGGTGGGACTACGGTTTGGAGCCGGGTCTGCGATTATATGATTAGGGTTTAGGGTTTAGGGTTTTTAGTTACGAGATACTGGTGAGGCCCCCCGGGGGACCCCTGTAGATCCTTAGGGGTAAGGGAATCAACCAATCGTAGGGTAGTGAGGGCCCCCATCCTATGGGCACACATCGCCAAGAGGGAGTCGTTGACGGGGGCCCCTGCTACACTAAGCCTGCAAGCACAGAGAAAACACTAAACCCTAAACCCTAAACCCTGTGGAAAGTGGCTGACTCAGCTGGGGCCCCTCAGACGTCTGCATTAGAGCCTACTGTCGAGGACTAAGGTTTTAGGGTTTAGGGTTTACCGAGTATAGCCAAATGTATGCAGCTTAGACCCCACTCGTTGGGCAATACGAAGGGCGCAGCCCTCAGTGACGCCGCCCACAGTCAAGCTGATCACAAACCACAAACCCTAAACCCTAAACCCTAAACCCTAAACCCTAGCGACAAGCAACGCAAAGAGACCCTCTGTCTCCAGTAGCAGCAAAACCTTGAGGAACACGCAGCTGCACAGCAGCAACGAGCAACGGAAACAGCAGCAACAGCAGTAGTAACAACAGCAGCAGCAGCAGCACCTGGTCAGAGTTGGTGCTGCAGCAGCAACAACGGCGTCAACAAGGACATCTGCAACTTGCGGCTTCTTTGCTTCGATTTGCGCTGTATGCAATTTATCTAACGATTTCCCTAAACCCTCCAGGGCCCTGCAAACCACAAACCCTAAACCCTAAACCCTAAACCCTAAACCCTGAAACACTGAAGTGCAGCCTGCGCGGTCCACAGAGTGCTGTCGTCAACGGAAATGGCTGCTGTAAGTAAATTTAGGGTTTAGGGTTTAGGGTTTGTGCATACCCCATGGAGAACTTCTCGCCGCCATAACAAATAAACCCGAAAGACCGTAAACCCTTGCAGCCTTCCTTTAGAGCTGCAAACCACCAAAAAAGAGAGGATTTAAGGGTTTAGGGTTTAGGGTTTACATCATGACGTAGAGGCCGGGAGTGTTTAGGGTTTATGGTTTCATACCTTCTAAAAAGGCGTCATCCTTTGTCTCGATACCTGCCAAGGCGAGGCCCTCCAAGGGGGCCCCCTTGAGGGCCTCGAGGCCCTTTGGTGTTAGTAGGAACCCATCTAGCTCGAGGGTTTTAAGGTTCTTGCTGCGCGCAAACCCCAAACCCTAAACCCTAAACTCTAAACTCTACCTGTGTAACAGCTATGAGGCCCCCACAGTGACGAGCTACAAGTTCCAACCGTTGCCTCTGTGGTTTTAGGGTTTAGAAATTAGGGTTTAGGGTTTAGGGTTTAGGGTTATACTAACCACCGTTGAAGGAGAACTTTCAGCTGCTCGTCTGTAACAAGCACTCGAGCTGCACAAGAGCGCCAAACAAACACCCAAGCTCTCAGATTAGGGTTTAGGGTTTAGGGTTTGGGACTTAGGGTTTAAAGAAGGGATTTGGGGTTTCCTCCCAATAGGCTGTTGCACACATCCGTCAGCTAGAACGCTTAGGCCTGTTGGGATTAGCGCTATTAGGGTTTAGGGTTTAGGGTTTGGGGCTTGCCTGTGCCTCCAACAGAAGTCACATTCCTTAGTGCAGTGCATGCTGCTTCATGGAATAACCTGCAAGCAAGAAACCCTCATAACCCTAAACCCTAAACCCTAAACCCTAAACCCTGAGCCCTCCCTGGTTGCCGCTTCCTTCTGCCGAGGGTTTAGGGTTTTCTAGGGTCTAGCTCACCTGGATACAAGAAGGCACCTCAAGAAGTCTGGCAGTTCTAAGAAGGCAAGAACCCCCGCTAACAGGGCTGCATTTAAGGTAAACTCTGTGCAGAGGGGGCCCCCAGCGGCAACGACGGGGCCCCCAGCAGCACCAGGGGTCCCTCGACCAGGGGACTCCTGAGAGTCTGTGCTTGCCACGGGTTCCCCGGGGGGGCCATCAAGATGCCCTTCGCGGGGGCCCCTAGGGCAGCAGTTAGAGCAGCTACTGTTTTGTGAGGTCCCGTTATGGACCTCGTGAGGGGGCCCCTCTTGGGGCCCCTCTTCTATTACTTCACTGCCCCCTGATAGTGCGTTTGGAGGCCCATTTGGGGACCCATCAAGGGGCCCTTGCGACGGCCCATCAGGCGGGCCCTCCGTACTCGCCGTAGGGGGCCCCTCGGGGGGCCCCTCTTGGGACCCCTCTTGGGGCCCTTCTTTTCGAGTTGCCTGGGGTCCTTGGGTTCTTGTCTCTAAGGAGATATGAGGGGGGCCCCCTCTAGTTCCCTCTTTGTGCTCTTCTGGGTTTGGCCCTGATGCCCCCTGAGAGCAGCTGTGTGCGTCGTCAGTGCTGACACCTGCTGTAGTTGCTGCAGGTGCTGCAGCTGCTGCAGTTGCTTCTGTTGCTGCTGTTGCTGCGGTTAATTCACTTGATGCAGTTGATGCAGCAGCAGCCATTGGGTGAGTATTGAGGCCCCAAGAAGAGGCTTGCTTTTCCGTTGTTTGCTCGCTCCCAAGGGGAGCGGATAGGGGGGCCCCTTCAATGGGGAGAGGGGGGCCCCCCACCATGCTTAAGGGTCCCCTAGGGTGTAACAGGGCCTCAATAAAGTGCTTCTGCAACCAATGGGGGGCCCTGTACTGAACTGGGGCCCCTCTGTAGCCTGGTGCTGCTAGTGCCGTGCAAGGGCACGACCCTCGGGCCTGTAACCCCTAAACCCCAAACCCTAAGTTCCAAACCCTAAACCCTAAAAGCTAAACCCTTAAAACAGCAGCACCAAGAGTTATTAGTGCATTTAAGGAACAAGAAGTCTGCTTTGCTGTCGAGGGGCCCCCTTTAAGGAGAATTCTGTCATGGGGGCCCCCTAGGAGGTAGCGTCCTTTATTTCTTTACTGTTTATTGTTTCTCCTATTGTTTATATTAAGAAAAGAAGAGAAAAGAAACCATTTATAACCTTTGTCAGTAAACAAACACTCGGTAGGCACCTAAGAGGTATAGATAGACAGGGTACTGCAGGCTCGCTACTGCACGAGGGGCCCCTTGGGTCCTAGTAGACGAAGGGGCCCTCCCTTATATGTGCACTAAACTTTATTGTTCCTATTCTAGTGTAGCAACCTATATTCCTTCTGTCTCCTAATTGTCTCCTCTCGTGCCATCTATTGCTACGTATCTGTGCCCCCTCCTTCCCCTCTTCCTTTATATGCCCATAACATTAGACAACTGCCAACAGTTAATTATAAAAGGGCCCCTAGGGGCCCCCTGGGGGCCCCTGTTTGGGGCCCCTGCCAACCCCCATTAAGTGGGGACCCCTTTCTCTGGGTGCCTTGTTGCTGCAGCAGCAGATGTCTGTACAGTGCGGTGTCTGCTGCTTGCAGCTCTTGTGCCTCCCCCAGACTTGGGAGGCCCCCCTCCCCCTTTAGGAGGGGCCCCTGTACCTTTATCTACCAGTTTACGGGGACTGAGGGGGGCCCCCCTTCTTGTGTGGGGACTCTGTCTGCATGTTTTGTTTCTCTTGCCTCTATCGCTGTATGAACTCCCGCTGCTGCTCTCTGCTCTGTAGCTGCTACTGCTGCTGCTGCTGCTGCTGCTGCTACTGCTGCTGCTGCTGCTGCTGCTGCTAGTAGGAGGCTTCGTGCGGCGGGTCCCATTGCGGCCTCTTATGGGCGAGTGGCTCTGATGGCCTTTGCCGGCACCTTCATCAGTACCCTCTTCCGAATCACCTGCACCAGTAGGCCCCAGCTGGGGCCCTCTTAGGCTCCTCCTTGGGGACGATCGCGTGGCGATAGGAGAAACGGCAGCACCCCCACCATCTGCATCAGCCTCTCCTGCTGCTGCTGCTAATATACTGGGGGGCCCTGACTTCCTAGGAACCCCCGCGGCTCTAGTGGGGCCCCCATGATGGGGCCCCCCAGGGGCCCCATCAGGGTCTGATACCGGAAAGTTGACAGCACCTCCAACAGAAGCAGAAGCTCCTGCTGCATTTGCTGCTCCTGCTGCTGCTGCGTTTGCTGCTGCTGTCCCTAGCAGCGGCTCCCCCACGACCCCCGGAGAGTCTAGGAGGGGCCCCCCTTCAAGGTCCTCTGAAGGGGGCCCCACCGGTGCATGCCGCGGCGAGCTGCATGCACTTAATGAGAGAGAGAGTGGGGGTACGGGGCCCCCGGGGGCCCCCGCGGCCCCTCCCCTGTACGACCAGGCAGGGGCTGCTGGTAGGATGCCTGGAGAGGCTAAGGCGTCTTCAGGACATGGTGGGGCCCCACATGCTTGCTGTTGCTGCATTTGCTGCTGCATTTGCTGCTGCTGCTGCTGCTCTATCTGATAGATCTGCTGCTGGTAGCAGCAGCAGCAAAGGTCCCGCTGCTGCAGCGGGAGGACGTCCCTGTAGTTCGTCCTTAATACCCTCTCGGTCTCTACCCTGAAGAGTTCGTCTACTATACGGCTGCAAAACAGTACACACAGCTGCATATACACCCCATCTGCTGCTGCTGCTGCTGCTGTTGCTGCTGCTACTCCTAGTACTACTACAGCAGTTGCTGCGGATGCTGCTGCTGTTACTACTATTTGAGTGCGTTAAACCCGCAAACAATTCAAACCCTAAACCCGTAAATCGCACTAATAGCGCACAACCTAATTCATCCTAGGGTTTAGGGTTTAGGTTTATTAGGGTTTAGGGTTTACTTGACGATTTGCTCGAAAGTGGGGCGCATCCGCGGGTCGGTCTCCAAGCACGCGAGTGCCAAGTTTACTAAAAATGGGTCCTGAATACAAACCCCAAACCCTAAACCCTTAACCCTAAACCCTTGCCGTGTAAGCAAGAATCACCATAAAAGAACGGGGAAAAAAGGCACAGCAAGCCAGGCATCGTTCTGTGCGTATTTTCAGGGTTTAGTGTTTAGGGTTTAGGGTTTATACCTTATGTTGAAAGAGAGAAAGGGAGATTTTATATTTAGGGTCTGATAAAGATTTCCATTCTCTAAACCCTAATAAGCGTGCAGCAATAACACCAAATGCCCAAACATCCGCCGGTCTGTCATACGCCGCTGTCCTTTGCTCAGGGGCAATATAACCCTAATAAATAAAAAAAAGGAGACGCAATAATAAAAGGAGACACATAAATAAAAAAAAAAGACAGATAATTAAAAGGAGGGGACAGACAATTAAAAGGGGGAGACAGGTAATTAAAAGGAGAGATACAGCTAACAGGAGACTGTTTTTAGGGCCTAGGGTTTAGGGTTTAGGGTTTCGGGTTTACCTCGGTTCCTGGTCCCTGAGTCATTTCATGCTCAAAGTAGCGATGCTCAGCAACCCTTGCAACCCCAAAGTCTGTTACCAGCGCTCTCCCATCCTGCATCACCAAACCCTAAACCCTAAACCCTAAACCCTAAACCCTCGTTCCAGCAAAAAAAACGCGATTTAGACCCCTTCAACTGCTGCATTTTTTTGAATATAATATATACACACTATTGCGGATATGGCTATTTAGGGTTTAGGGTTTAGGGTTTACCTTGATAAGTATATTAGCAGGTTTTAGGTCCCTATGCAATAAATGGGGTTTAGCTGCACGAGGGGAATGAAGAAATTGCATCGCTCTTGCAGAGTCCAACAAAACCCCCAAAATAAAATCAACAGATAGCAGTAAACCCTCAGCCTCATGTCTATTTAATAAATTCTCTGTATAATAAATAAACAAATAAATAAATAAATTAATAAATTAATAAAATAAATAAATAATAAAGAAAATAAAAGAAGAGGTATAGTATATCTACTGCGGTCTATCTATTATGTTGTATATGTTGCACAACGTAAGGATATTCATGAACAATATGCATAACATAGGAAAAGAGAAGAATATAATATAATATACATGAATAAATAAATAAATAAATAAATAAAGTAATTTATTAATATATAATTACCTAAGGATTCATCAGCAATATGCATAAGGAAGCAAAGAGAAGAATGTTTATTTTTCCTTTTTGTTCGATCCTCTAACATTTGAAATCCTTCAAAGACTCCAAGAAAAGGAACAATACATGGATGTGTATAAGACCGCATTATTTCTGCCTCTGGTACATTTTCTTCTCTGTATATATACACAAACAAATAAATATATATATTTATTTATATTATTTTGTCAGTTAGTTTTATTTGTTATGAGGGGGTTTTGTTTCTTTACTTTTTTTTTTTTTTTTTTGGGAGTGTTAGGGTTTAGGGTTTAGGGTTTAGGGTTTACATTCTTGGGACGAGTTTAAGTGCGTATTGTGGAAGATGTTGTTGCATGACGTTATCATCTCCATCTTTGCTGCTACTGCTGCTATTGCTGTTGCTGTTATTGCTATTGCCATTGCTGTTGCTGCTGCTGCTGTTGCTGCTGCTGCTGCTGCTGTTTCGTGTCTGGTGAGGGGCTGGTGCATGCAATGCATGGGGCTTGAGAGAAACCCTCCAAACCTCCCCAAAGTTTCCTTTGCCAAGTTTATCATGAAAAGTAAAATAATAATCAAGGTCTAATTGATCAGGAGCAACCCCACCACTTGTACACCCTGGCCAACCACTTGCCCTGAACACACAAACCCTAAACCCTAAACCCTAAACCCTTAAAACTAAACCCTAAACCCTAAACCCTAGTTCATAAAATATTTGATTCGCCTAGGTATAGTGTATGTAGGTTTAGCTCACTGCAGCAGGAAGCGATCCAGATCTCTTTCTGCTGCGAGTTGTTGCTGTCGCTGCTGCTGCTGCTCCTGCTGCTGCTGCTGCCCCTTCTCCTCCTCCTGCTGCGCTGCCAAGTATATGCACTTAGAAGAACCACAGGGTTTACGAGGAAGACAAACACCGCAGCAAGGGCTGCCGCGGCAACGGGGGGCCCCCAGCTGAGGAGGGTTTAGTTGTAAAAAGGAGGAAGGAGTATCGGACTGCCCTTCAGGGGCCCCCTCAGGGGCCCCCAATGCTCCTCCTGTAGGGGTCCCAGGGGCCCCCCCACCCTCCATCGATTCAGGAGAATCCCCCCATAGAATCGGCATCAAGTGCTCCAGCTCAGCCTCTGAGAAAAAAACCACAAACCCTAAACCCTAAACCCTAAACTCCAAACCCTAAACCCTAAAAGCTAAACCCCAAACCCTAAACCCTAAACCCTAAACGTCAGGGAGCCTCAAATCCCCCTGTCCCTCACCTTGGCCTGAGCCTATCAACACGATATTGTAGACGAACTCGGGGGCCCCAGGGGGCCCAGGAGGGCCCCTAAGGAGCCTGCATGGTATCCCCACGGAGTCGCAGAGGACCTGCAGAGAGACAAAAGAGACGCGAAACCCTAAACCCTAAACCCTACACGAAGGAGACCTCGACTTCAGACCGCCCCCGCTGCAGCTATCGAACGATATCCTGTCGCTCCGTTCTAGGGTTTAAGGTTTACTGTGTAGCAGCTGGTCAAGTGAATTCGACTAAATATAACAATTAGGGTTTAGGGTTTAGGGTTTAGGGTTTAGAGGCAAGGCGTACCTTGAAGAGTAGCGCTCTGTGTCTACTACTACCGAATTTCACGGATCCAAGAGGGACAAACCCTCCATAAGTCTCTGCTATTCTATTAACCTCTAAACCCTCAGAAGGGTTTGCGGGGGCCCTAATAACTTTTAATACAAACCTCCTTAGGGCCTCAACACGACGTCGTTGACGGGAGGCAGGGGGGGCCCCCCGGGGGCCCCCCAATGGGGTACAACCAACCATTTGCTGTGCCTCGGATACCCTTCTCCTTAGACCCCCATCTGTCTGTACATCCACTACTAGGACTTCACGACAGGTACAGGGGCCCCCATGGGGGCCCCTGCTGCTGCAGGGCCCCAACTCGACCCCTAATTCTTGTAAGACGGAGTCAATATTAAGGAGCCACTCAGGGTCTTCCCATGCATACACTAGCTGCTGCTGCCTCTGCTGCTTCTGCTGCTGCTGCTGCTGCTGCATGCACGAACCTGTACAGGAAGAACCTGATCTTAATTCATGAGGAGATACACCACAAGGACTTAATATGTCACTACCCTCCCCGTCTCTATCTGATCTTATAACCCCTGTTGCTGCTGCTCCTGCTCCTGCTCCTGCCTGAGCCCCATCAGTGTCCACAGCAGACCCACTTACAGGGGGCCCCTGCGGTGGAGGCCCCCCACCAAACCCTGGTGGGGGCCTCTTCATTCTGCTTAATGGGGCAGGAGCAGCAAACTGGTGGGCCCCCGATGGGGCCCCCATGTCCTTTTGCTGCTGCTTCTGCGCGGACGAACCCCTTGGTACGTCTCGTTGCGGTGTAGAGAACAGGGAGCTTGGAGCTGCTGCTGCTTCTGCTGCTGCTGCTGCTGCTGCTGCTGCTGCTGCTGCTGCTGTTGGTTGAGGGGTACTCCCATCCAAGGAATTGCTCCTCGTTATCGGCAGCAAATCAAAGACGGAGCTCGGGGGCCCCTTGAGGGCCCCACTAGCTGTTTTTGCGTGTGCCATAGCAGCAGCAGCTGCTGCTGCTGCTGCACCCCTGCTGCTGGTTCTGCTGATGCTGCTGCTGCAGTGCCTCCTTTCCCATAGGACCCTGAACTCTGCTGCAGATACAGCAGGGGACGAGGGGCCCCCATCATACAGCAGCAGACCAGGGAGACACAGGAGATCGGTAGGCTCTAGGGACCCCGTTGCTCTATACTTATAAGTAAGACTGCAGCGGGGGAGCTCCTCTAGCAGCAAGGACAGCAGCAACCGCAGCAGCGGCGGCGTGCTGCTGCTGTCCCTTAGCTGCTGCAGCAGAGACAACTCTACCATTGTTACCTCCAAGAAACGTGATAAAAACAGCAACTTTAGACCTAATAATATTGCTTGGGGGGGCCCCCGCAACAGGGGCCCCCAAGGAGATTTACCAACAAAATGGTGTGTCTCCTTAGGTATAAAATAACGCAAAAACAACGAACCCAAGTCCTCTACAGCCTGCAACACATATACAAACCCTAAACCCTAAACCCTAAACCCTAAACCCTCTTTAAAGGGAAGAGGCTGTCACAGAAAGAGGCACTAATTTCCTGTTCCTGCTGCAGCACAGAGAGAGGCCCTATCGAGTGACCTTGGGCCCCCCCTGGGTGGGGGGCCCCCAAGGGCCCCCGTTGCCGGGGGGCCCCCAAGCATGATAAAAAGGAGACCGTACCTTTTTTAATTGCTGACACTCCTCTGGGTCTGTTGGCAGCCTCGGCAAGGGTACTGCTGAGGGCCCTGCGTCCCCTCCCTTCATTCCTCTATAAGAGAGGAAGGGGCCCCCCCCTACCGCAAAGGACACAGCAATGGGGGGGCCCGCTGACCGTACAGAGCGGCAGACGGGTAGGGGGGCCCCTGATGTGTCAGGGGTCGCACCTCGAATGGGGGCCCCACGTTTGTCTCTGGGTCCCCCTATCCTTCCTGCCTCCGCCACCACAGACACGGGGGCCCCAGGGGCCCCCAGGAGTCCAGGAGACCCTTTGGGGGGCCCCTGTGCAGCAGCTGCTGCTGGTGGTGGTTGTGCTGGCTTTTCAACCTGCAGCTGCGGTGGTGGTGTCTTTGCCCCTGCTGCTGCTGCTGCTGCTGGCGTTGCGGTAGTTGCTGCCCCTTCTGCAGGAGCAGCAGCAGCAGCTCCTGCTGCTGCTGCATCCTCCTCTGTGTCTCCCTTGATTTCTTTGGGGCCCCCAGCAGCAGCACCTTGGCGTTTCTTATAAGCGGGTTGGGGGCCCCTAATGGGGCCCCCCTCCCTCTTAGCGGGTAATTTAAATTCACCATCAGAAGAGGAGTCATCAGGGGCCCCCCCTACTGTTTTCCTCTTCGGGCCCCTGCCCCCTCTAAGGAGTCTTAGGGGCCTCTTGCTGCTAGCAGCGGCAGCACCCCTTTGGGGGCCCCCCCCTGCTGCTGTTGTGTCTGCACTGGAGGCCCCACTAGGCTCTGATGCCTCGTAGTCGGAGTCGCTTGTGTCCTCTGTGGTGTCTCCTGAGGTGTCTCCTGTCTCCTCTTCTTCTTCTTCTTCTTCATCTGCAGCAGCAGCAGCAGCAGCGTTATCCTCACTACCATTTCTGCTGCTGCTGCTGCTGTTGCTGCTGCTGCGACGGCTTGTACTGTTCCTGCTGCTGCTGCTGTTACGCTTAGGGTCACGAGAATGTGCTGCTCTCTCTGATGGTGTCCTGCTAGCTCCTCCTGCCTCACGATAGCTGCTGCTGCTGCTGTTGCTGCTGCTGTTGCTGCTGCTGCTGCCTGTGTCGCTGTCTTGGCTGTCTGTTACATCAGACAGCAAGGAGGTATTACCACTACCAAGACTTATCTCCTCTGCAGGGCTACGGGGGGGCCCCTTTAAGGACCTGGGGGGCCCCCCTACTGTCTTGGGGCCCTCTCCCCCCCTATAGCGGAGACTCTTCCTTGTAGGAGGTATACACTCCTGCAGCAGACCCTTATCTGCTGCTGCTGCTGCGGCGGCTTTTCTCGTTGCTGCTGCTGCAGAGACAGGGGCCTCCTGCGAGGCCCGTAGGCGGCTTGTAGTACCCTTACGGGTACGGGGGGGGCCCCTACGACGGCGGGAGACACTGTCTCCTGATGAGGAGACAGAAGCATCTTCCTCGAACTCGCTTGCTTCCTCGCTGCTGCTGCTGCTGCTGGGGGTGCAGCTGCCACCACTGGTGCTGCTGCTGCGGACACGCTTGCTTCGTGCCTCCTTCTGTCGTGACCTCCGTGTTGCTGCTGCTGCTGCTGCAGTTGTCCTTCTTGAAGCATGCTGCTGCTGTGCTCCTCCTGCTGCTGCTGTTTCTGCAGCAGCAGCAGAGTCGCTGCCAAGCAGCAGCAGCACCTGCGCTTCGGATGCAGCAGCAACAAGTGCAGCAGCAACAGCAGCTGGGTCCTCCGAACCTTCATCTGCTGCTGCTGCTGCATCTGCATCTGCTGCTGCTTCTGCATCTGCTGCTGCTGGATTGTCTCTTAGATCCAATACCTTTAGCTGCCCACCATTCTGCTGCAGCGCAGCAGCAACAAGCAGCAAATCTGCTGCTGTTATGCTGCAGTCCTTCAAGAAGAGACACTCCAAGGGACACACGCCCTTCCCTCCAGCACCCTGCACACCAACAACAAAACCCTAAACCCTAAACCCTAAACCCTAAAATCCCTAAACCCTAAACCCTAAACCCTAAAATCCCTAAACCCTAAACCCTAAACCCTAAACCCCATGCTTGTTGCTGTCTAAGTAGTGTTTAGGGTTTAGGTGCCTTCCTTGCAGGGTACTGTAGGAAAGGGCTCGTACCCCTTTTACTGTGTCTATACTAGGGTTTAGGGTTTAGGGTTTAGGGTTTACCTGCAAGGCACTGGCAAGAGGCTGTAGAGGAGAGGGTCCCTCTTCTTCTTCTTCCTCAGGTGTCTGTACACCGCAAGGGTTATTACTCAGATCTAAGGACTTAAGGGCACAGCCTGGGGCCCCCAGGGCCCCCCCTATTGCATGCAAGACAGGGGCCCCCAGGTTATTTCCTGCTAAGTTAAGACTCCTTAGCGGGGCCCCGTGTCCCTTCCCGTCTGCAGCCCCTTGCGTCCCGCTGCTCCTCGTGCTGCGCTTGCTGCTGCTGCTGCTGCTGCTGCTGCTGTTGCTGATTTTGCTGGTAGATCCATAGAGGGCCTCCAGCAGCGCAGCAACATCATCTTCGCTAAGACTCTCCCCGCAGCAAGAGAGATCAAGGTGCAGCAGGGGCCCCCTTGCTGCTTGCTGCAGCAGCAGCCTCCTCAGTACCCTAAAAGATACATCGGAGGCCCCTAACCAAAGGGATTGCAGGTCAGGGGGCCCCCCTCCCTGAAGGGGCGGGGGCCCCACACCTTGTGCTGCATGCAGTGAGAGCTCCTTAAGAGGGCCCCCCAGCTGCTTAAGACGGCCCTCAAGGGCCCGGGGCCCCCAAGGGTTCCCCCCAATCCTTAGCTGCTGCAGCAGCGGGGGGCCCCCACCCTTAGTAAGGAAATCAGCAAGTAGGGGGCCCCCCTCCTCGGGTATATCATTAAAGGAAATATCTATCTCTGTTATACGCCGCAGCAAAGAGGGATGCTTCTGCAGCAGCAGCAGCAGCTGCTGCAGTCCTGCCAGCCCCAAACGGCAATGGCGCATGCATACACCTGAGCCCTTAGGCATAGCAGCAACAGTGCGTATATACACCCCAATTAAAGCCCCCAATAACACCTTGCTGCTGCTGCTGCTATTATTGTTATTGTTGTTGTTGCTGCTGCTGCTGCTGTTATGAGCAGCTAATAAGGCTGCTGCTGCTGGCCCCTCCTTTGCATGCATATCCTCAAGAATTATACGAGTAAGGCTTTTGCTCTTTGTGCATGCAGAGGACAAAGACAATAACCATCTTATGTCCCCTCTTATAACAAGGGCACAGAGGTGGGGGGCCCCCTGAATTGCTGCTGCTAGCTGCTGCTGCTCAGGGGCCCCACGGGGGCCCTCACGAAAGGGGGCCCCAACCACTAATACGTCTAAATAGGGTAGGGGCCTCTCAGCCCGCAGCAAATGAGTCTTTAAGGATGCGGGGTGTACGTACACCGCACTTGCTGCTGCAGCAGGAAATATTATACTCTGCTGCTCCTCCTCCTCCTCTTCATCCTCTCCGTGTTGTTGCTGCTGCTGCTGCTGCAGCTGCTGCTGCAGGCAGTCCAACACTGCAGGCGTCAATGAGCACACCTGTAACACGTATAAACCCTCATGGCCACTTCTGCTGCTGCTGCTGCTGTTGCTGCTGCTGCTGCTTCTAGACTTCCTTGTGGCGCTAGGTGTACGGTTAGGGGCTCCCTGGGGCCCCTCCAACAGGCTCCATGGGCAGCAGCCAAAGGGGTATCTGTGGGGGCCCCACAGATGCTCCCCAACCTCCTCATCGAGGGGCCTCAGCAGCAGATCCCCTGCTGTTGCTGCTTCTGCTGCTTTTGACCCTGCTGCTGCTGCTGCTGCTGCTGCTGATGGTGTGCGCTTCTTGCTGGTCCGTCTTGCTGCTGCTGTACCAGCAGCAGCAGAACGAGACCGAGAAGCTCGCTGTCCTGCTGCACCTCCGGAAGGCATTTCTGTGTATGTGTGCTTATCTTGCTGCTCCCTTCAATGCTGTTGCTGCTGCTGCTGCTGCTGCTGCCTGTGCTGCTGCAGCTGCAGCAGCTACTGCTGCTGCTGCTGATGAGGTACCCTTGAGCACCTCCAGGACCCTAGTGAAGATAGAGGACCCAGAGATGTCTAGGATAGAGCAGTTTGCTGCCGTGTGCCCTCAGCAGAGCAACAGCAGCAGCAGCAGCAGCAGCAGCTAGGGAAGCCGCATGCGGCCGTGCCTTTAGGCCGGATTATCTGGGGCCCCCAATAGCTAGGGGGCCCCCCAGTGTTTGCGATAGGGTACGAGCAGAAGGATTCAGTGCGGCAAGAAGGGAAAGCTGTACATGAAGTGCTGCTGCATGCTGCTGCTGCTGCTGCCGCCGCTGCTGCTGCAAGCCCCGGGGAATACGGGGCAGCAAGGGTCTTCTGAGCCTTCTTATTGGGTAAAAGAGGCATAAAAAGAAGAATAGAGAAGCAACAACAGCCTGCTGCTGCTGTTTTTGCTGCTGCTGCTGCTGCTCCCCGGCTCCAGGACGGCCGGGCCGGCCGGCCGTAGAGCTGCTGCTGAGGTGTCTAGACACTCGACAGAAAGAAGCGCAGCATGTTGACAAACCCTAAACCCTAATCCATACAACTCTAAACCCTAAACCCTAAACACCGCAAACCTTCCAACAGACAACCAGGGGGGTTGAGGTACTGCCAGCCCCAGCCCCGAGGGCCTGGGGCCCCAGCACCCTCTCTGCCCAACACTAAACCCTAAACCCTAATCTATAAACACTTTTGTAGTGGGTGCATCTTTGGTGCTAAGAAGGGGCTTAAATGCTCCTAAAGCCTAAACCCTAAACCCTTGATAAACCACTGCGTCTGCTCCCTCCCCCTTCTGCTCTGCAGGGGAGGCAGGGGGGCCCTCCTAGTCCTTAATGCATAGTATGTGGGGTATAAGGTACTAGGGTAAGGAGGGGCCCCTATAAGGGTACATATGCATGCATAGCACCTATAAACCCTAGATAATAGGGCAGTAAACCCTAAACCCTAAACCCTAATGAGGGCAGGAGGGGTGCACCGTCCTCTTCCCGTTACCATAGAGGTGCTCAGCATAAGATAAGCATTGCTGCTGCTCTCCCCTCCCTTTCTGCTGCTGCTGTCTCCTTTCCTTATGTAGGCAAGGGAGGGGCCCCTATAAAGAAAAGGGGTTTAGTAGATCTATATACTGTTGTCTCCTTTTGTCCCTCTTATTAGTCTCCCCTTCGTCTCCTTCCTGTCTTAGGGCTGCATGCACCTCCTTATTATCTATGCATATATCTACCTAGGCAGCAGCAGCAGCAGCAAGGCAGCAGCAGCAGCAGCAAGGCAGCAGCAGCAAGGCAGCAGCAGGCAGTGCAGCACACCTAACTACTGCTCCCTCCCCTTAGGTATATATACCCGTCAATCCCTCTCCTCTATTTGCCCTCTGCCCTACCCCCTGGGGCCCTCCCTACAGTAGGTAGGATCAATAGGGCCCTCAGGGGGCCCCCTGCAGTAGGTACGATCAACGGGGGCCCCCCTCCTTGAATCCTTAGGAGGGTACAATAGGTACAGAGGGAGCAAATATATATATATATATATATATATATATATA